GTTTAGACCCATCTAAACGTCTTTAATTACAATCGGAAAACAAATTATAAAACTACATAGCCCTATGTGAAAAAGTGTTTTCTCCCAGTTAAAACGTAACTTAACTCTGGTTCATCACACAATTTCTGGTCCAAAGTTCAATTTCTGTAGCCACATCTATGCCTGAATACCCCCACACATGTTCGCAATTAAGAAATCACCTAAATATTACTCCCGACAAAGTGAAGTAGACCAAAAGATCCTCAAAATCTGCACTTTCTTTCATTTTATTGACTAGACGATTGATTTTATGTCTTTAGATAAATCGAGTATTTCACAGTGGCTTGAGAATACTAAGTATTTGTTTTAAGGTAAAAAGGATAAAATGCTCTTGGTTTGGTGGTATTTTTTTTAATGATTTAAATGGCAACCTCTTAAAAACATATTTACCCTCTCAAAATTAAATTAAGTTGTTGTTGTTATGTTTTATTTCTTACTATGTCTGCTGTTTCATTCTGATCAGTCTCCATTTCACTTGTATTTTTTTGCCTTTTATTGGTGGCTTGTCAAAACCAAAACATTTTGATGGAATATGCCCCAAAATGCATTTTAATTCAATAAACTGTCTGGTTTTGATACTTAGAGTTTGATGGTATGTCAGTTTCACTTGTAGTGGAAACCATTTGAACTTTGATGGTTTCTATTCCTTTTTGTTCAGTTCTAGCTAGTCCACTGATGATTCGGTCTCCTCGAGATGTAAAATCAATTGTCTGTCTGGGAGAGGAATTATTAGCGGATGATGAAGTGACAAGAAAACTGTCTACTAAATCTGTAAAAAAAATGTCTGCTTAAATTTCATTGTGTTGTAGCTTATAAACCAACACTGACTGCTTAATGCTGAGATTTTTCTTGATCTGTGTCAAAGCAAATTATGTTTTTCATCAACAGAGTTATGATGTGGTAAATCTACTTCTGTTGTGTGTTTCTCCTGAATTTGACGGTTTATTAGATTATGTCAAGCGTATTCAAGTAAACTGATTAATCAACATGAAGTGTCATTAGTGAAGTTGTAGAGTGAAGTTTATATTCAGAGTGAAAACTTGTGGCATCATGTTAAGTCATATTAATAGTGAAACGTCTTGGAGGCGTGTAGTGAATGTTGTAATAGTTTCCAATTAAGAGTTCACCTCAGGATTTTCTCATCAGATTTAAAATCGTGCATTATTGTGTTATGAGAAAACGCACTGCCACATTCATGATTTTATGATTTTATTTTGATTTAAATGAAGACAAAATTATATTATATTATATTATATTATATTATATTATATTATATTATATTATATTATATTATATTATATTATATTATATTATATCATATTATATTATATTATATTATATTATATTATTATTTTGAACACCCAAGTTAAAAAAACAACAATATAATATAATATAATATAATATAATACAGTGGTTCTCAAACTTTTTTCACCAAGTACCACCTTAGAAAAAAATTGTCTCTCCAAGTACCACCTTACGACGCTATTTTTTAACCAGTATTAAAAAATAGCGTCATAGGCCTAATTAAGCAGCTACAGGTGTGCACAGTTTAAAAACGATGCAGATTAATTCCTATTATTAAGAATATGTATTATTATCAGTCACTTTAAACATTTGAAATAGTCTGAACATTAACTTTGCTTGCAGATTAAAAATTGTGCTTTTAAAAGTTCATTAAAAATGGCATTGTTCTTAAAAAGTAAAAAGAAAACTGCTGTACTTAAATCTAAAGTATTCATAGTAGCCTATTCATCAAAAGCTGGAGATGTTGCTTTTACCTTATAAATATAGGCTATATGTCACATTCCTACACTTTCAGACAAATCTTGAAATATATGTTAAATGTACATATGACAGGGTTCATACAGGCACAGCCTAATGAAAATCAATTCCAGCACCTATTTTTTTTTTTTCAAGACTGACATGTATTGAAGACCTGAAAAGTATTCTCAGCAACCCATAAAACATTGCATAGGAATAGATACAAATAAAAAACATAAAAAATAATATTTATTAATCATATATTAATAATATAATAAACCTGCACTAAATGCTTGTGAAATCTTTTTTGTACTCAAGTAAAAATACTATTACACTGCTAAAATAACACAAATTTTAGTAAATAATATTAATATTAGGTAAAAGTACAAAGTACTCTTTTAAAAAGTACTAGTTGGTTACTTTTGAAAAATTTTCTGATTTTCATCATGAAATCACTTTTTTACGTGGAAACCTGATTGAATGGTTTAATTGCTTAAATCCCAAAGCTACATGTATAGGAAATTGCACTAACAAAGAAAGTATGGTCGATTTTTCCTTTCATGACAATTAATCTTTTTCAATAGCACTGGTAAAACTACCAAATAATCTTTAAGGCCATAGAGACACTTTTAGCCCATTTTTTAAACGATATTTACAAGCTTTGAAAGGTTTAATTGAAGTATATGGTAAAAAGATTTAATTTAGCCTTTTATTTACATATTTTACACTATTTTTCTTTACAATATGGCAAATTTGTTTCTTAAAAAGCTGTACATCACATGTAGATTTTATTTTACATTTAACCTAATCTAAAATAGAAACTTTAAAAAAAATACAAGTACACTGTCAGTAAAAAAAAAATTAATAAAACAAATGACTTCATTTTACTTGAGGTATTTGAAATGACGACACTACATTTATCAAAGCAGTGCTTTAAGAGTCTTATTGTTAATATTTATAAATAAACAATAAGTAACAACGGATTGCTTTGACCTGTAATGCTTTAAGACAGATCAGAATACAGCTAAATGTATAAATCACACAAATACCTCATCCAGAAACATTTCCAGCATAATTATTTTGTCGTAAAGAAAAAAAAAAAGAAAAAAATACACCTTTGCTAAAAGTAAGTTTCACTTCACAAACACAGCCAAATAAGAAGACCATTAGCATTGTCATCGATCATGTATCAATCTATTTCTAAATACTTAATAACTTTGAATACTTTTGACTAAATTTAGTCAAGGAGCAAAGATAAATAATGTCTACTTTAATAGTGGAAAGATCGCGATTGTATTCATTCTGAGCACACAGGCGATCCTGAGAGGACTTGCAGTTCATTTGAAAAAAAAAATAGCCTATTTAAAAGCTCACATATCTGTTTTAGCGATTTGCGTACATGAATGCGCTCTCGTGTTAAAATAAAGCCCTCGCCACATTTGTAGAAATGAGTTATTGCGCAATACCTCCATTCCCGCGCCGCCATTCAGAATGTATTTAGAGGAGTGACAGGTCAGAGGCGAGAGACTGGCTGTCGGAGAGCGAAACGTGTTTGTAGATCATCAAAAAGGCAGGAAATATGTCCGCGGTTTAATTACTCAGCCAGACATCTCTATAGTGAAGACATCCGAGAAGCATTAATCCAACAAAACATTTTTTTTAAGTTGTTTTTTCTGTCTCTGCAACACAGAAAGCATTTGTCCCGCCCTTACGTTTCACGCAACTAGACAAGGTCGACTGTGATTGGCCATTTTTCATGTCAATCAAATCACGCTTCAGAATCAATTCTTAAACTTCGGGAAATGATTTATAACAGCTTATGACACAATGCACTAAAATAAACACTCTAAGCACAGCGTTGTGATCGTACGCTTCACAAAACAGCCAATGCTGATCACATCGATGTTATATTACGCATTAAAGGATTAAAAGTGTTAATTGTTTCTTTCATTGTTCAGCGGTTCCTCCGCGTACCACTAGGAGGAAGCCCGCGTACCACAGTTTGAGAACCACTGATATAATATAATATAATATAATATAATATAATATAATATAATATAATATAATATAATATAATATGATATGATATGATATGATATGATATGATATGATATAATATAATATAATATAATATAATAATACTTGATTCTAATTAGTTTTTCACAACATCCCATGGTATGTTATTCCCAGATAACAACCTCTGAAACTCAAATCAACTTGACCGTCAGTGATTACATTCACATCCATGTACTGTACAGAGATGTAAAAAAATGTTTGCCCCCTTACTGATTTCTTTTTCTTTGCATGTTTGTCACATTTTAATGTTTCAGATCATTAAACAAATTGAAATATTGGCCAAAGTTTAACAAACACATCATGTAGTTTTAAAATGAAGGTTTTAATTACTAAGGGAAACCAAATTAGAAAACTACATCACCCTGTGTGAAAAAGTGTTTGCTCCCTGTTTATCACTCTGGTTTATCACACCTAAGTTCAATTTCTCTAGCCACACCCAGGCCTAAATACTGCCACACCAGTTCGCTTTTAAGTAATCACTTAAAAAAGGACCTGCCAGACAAAGTGAAGTAGACTAAAAGATGCATGTAGCGATGTAATAACAGGATAAAGTACATCCAGGTGGTTGTTTTTTTTTTGCAGAATAAGTCAGACAAATTTATAGCTTGTTGCATGTTGTTACAGACGCAGTGACAACCCCCTAAAATAATATAAAACAAATATAAAAAATAAAATAAAATATATAAAAATAATATAAAATATAAAATAAAATGTAATATATAAAATAAAATATATAAAATATAAAAGGAAAAAATTATAAAATTAAATAAAAAATATAAAAGAAAATTAAATAAAATATGAAATATAATAAATAAAATATGAAATAAAATAAAATTTTATAAAATGGAACATATTATGGACAAAATTAAAAGAATGAATATATAAGTATGTATCTGTGTGTGTAGAACATGTATGTGTAGAAGAAACTCTAGAGTATGAAATTAATGTCTTTGCATAGCTTAATCTTCTAAAAGTTGTTAAAGCTTGCAATGCAGTCTACATTGTATGCAATCAGAAATATTTAAAATAAAGTATTGTTCTTGAGATACATTATATATTGGGAGTTTTACTTTTTTTTTTTCTTCCTTGCATAGACTGACTGTAGTTTCTGTCTCCTCTTTCAGGTATTAAATGAAGCAGTGGGTGCTCTCATGTACCACACAATCACCCTTATGAGGGAGGACCTGGAAAAGTTCAAAGCACTTCGTATAATTGTCCGCATTGGGAGCGGCTTTGATAATATCGACATAAAGTCTGCTGGAGACTTAGGTAATGCCTTGCCATTACATCCCACATGCTCGACAGCAGTGTGTTTATTTTCTGTATTAGGAGCGTAACCTCTCCACATCTGCAGGTATTGCCGTCTGCAACATGCCAGCAGCATCAGTAGAAGAGACTGCAGACTCCACCATGTGTCACATCCTAAATCTCTACCGACGCACCACCTGGTTGCACCAGGCTCTCCGGGAAGGCACGCGAGTCCAGAGTGTGGAACAGATTCGGGAGGTCGCATCTGGAGCAGCCCGAATCAGAGGAGAGACACTGGGAATCATTGGACTGGGTGCGTTGTCTCACTTAAATACATTTTGAATATCAGAATGAAGCCTGATCTACTTCCTTGTGTATTCTCTTAAGGTCCAATCTCTTAAGGTCTTTGCACGCTGAAGTCAGAAATTTTCCTATGCGTTTTTGGTATTAATATATAGAAACTAGGGCTGCTCAATTATGGCAAAAATCATAATCACAATTATTTCGGTCATAATTGTAATCACGATTATTCAAAATGATTATCAGTTGAAGTGAAAATTATTTGCCCTCCTGTGAATTATTTTTAAAAATAAATATTTCAGTTATGTTTAACAGAGCAAGGACATTTTTGGAGTATTTCCTATAATATTTTTTCTTCTGGAGAAAGTCTTTTTTTTTTTTTTTCGGTTGGAATAAAAGTAAATTTAAATAAATAAAAATATTAAAATCAAATCATTTAGAAAAATAACATCAATCTTAGTAGTCTCCTTAAGCAATATATATATATTTTGAAGAAACTACTGCTATATTAATTACCCTAACTTGCCTAATTAAGCCTTTAAATCAGGGTTCTCAAACTCAAATTGGTGGGGGGCCATTTTAGTAACTGACAATTCACAGCAGGGCTGTTTCAACATTTAAACACAAGAACAAATTATGCATCTTAGGACAACAGACCTGATGTTTATATTTCAAGCATTACTGTTGCCAGTGATAATGCAAATCAGAACGTTTTTTGCTTCATACAACTGCTGAAATATATATGTGGCTGTTAAAATTAGCATGTTGACATTTAAATAGTCATAATAATGATAGTAATAAATATTATTATTCTGTCCCAACCAATTATTGCAAAAGTTTAACAGTTAGGGTAAGAGCAGCAGAAACAATTTGGGTAACTTTACTGGCTTTACTGGCAATTGTTCTCAGTATCTTTCTTTTTTGTAAAGCTACAACAAAAAGGGGAAAAGTTAGTATATATTCACATTTACTTTAACAAGTTCAATTCAACTAGTAGTAGTTTTCATAGAAATCTCAATATGAGTGCAAATGCAGAAAATCTATTAAATGACCATTTCAATTGAATAAGCAAAACTGGATTATCGCATAAAAGATGTGCAAATAAAACAGTGTTTCCAACCAACGAGTCAAAGCAAAAAAAATCGGCACTTCCTGATTAACTGGCACCAAATATCAAAAACTGAATTGGCTGCAGTAGAAGAAGCTGCGTCAATCTTTTCTTTATTTAATAAATTACTTGCAATCCTGACACGCAATGAATGCGGTGTGACTTTTGAAGGCGTGAGACGCAGAGCACAGATGCTCTTGATTCTGGAGGTCATTAATAACATAATAACACTAATACTGAAACGGTGCAGGCGTTTTAGAATGACCAAAACAACATTTTAGATGGGTAACAGTGTGCACAGCCTGCTGGTTTGTCCATTTCACTCATTTTTTTATCCTCATATGATCTCTTATATCAAAATCACATGCCTTTTTTAATGCACATACTGTAATTTATTTGGTAAAATTGCAGAACAGGAACTACTGGGGAGGTCGGGGATGGAGATAGTAAGGCCCTATCTGATATGTCAAATTTAGATAAACAGCAGATGCATAAAATGAAATGTAATTTATCCCACATATCTGAAATGCATGTATTGTATACTCTCATCGCCATTACAATAATGTTGTGCAGCCCTAATCAGTTGTCATGCATTATGGCACGCTATATGAAAAGGTACAATTAAACATTGCATTGCGATCGCTTATTTGTTGTTTACGAATGTCTTGTATATAAAAATTGTGTAGTCTGAACTTGGCCTAAATGAGATATAAAGTATTTGTATTTATTTGTGCAATTTTAGTGTCTGTAAATGTAAATAGACTCCTGCAAACAACAAAACACATGCAATTGTGGTGCATATGTAGTTATAAAATCACATAATTGAACAGAGATGCAATATCGTTTTCACTTGCTATTAAGTGGAAACTGTTCCAAATTTGTTTGCATTTCATCGACACTTTTGGCTCTTTTTTTTCCTGCTTTTGCAAGAACACAGGGGGACACACAAGTACTGTTGAATGAACAAACCAATTTATGCAGCCAGCAGGAAAGCAAGTGAATGTGTAGGATATGGTTGCAACTGTGATTTAGATTGAGTGTTTTGGTGCAGTGCACGGAAGTATGAATAAGTTGTTTTGATGCACTTTCCCCTACCAATCACAAAAGTAGACAGGCTCACTCATCCACTTGTAATCGGATCCATGAAGATGCCTCTTAAATAACAGGTGTAGACAGGGCCTGAAGAACTGTTCACAGGATAAAAAGAAAGTGATACAGATGTCAATGCTTAAAAATAAGATTGTCTTTTTTTATGATCAATTTGTAAGGCGTTTAATGCAGTGTTCATTTTCTGTAATATTTTTCTTTATTAATAACTTTTGGTTATTTAAAATATTCTATACAGGATAAATAAGATTTATTTCAAAATAAATGAACACTTGATTCTGGAAGAAAACATTACATTGTTTAAAAGTGGCAGTAAAGACATTCCATAATGTTGAAAATATAGCTTTGTTTTAAATAAATCATGTTACTTTAACTTTTTTTTTTGTTTTTAAAAGAAATCTAAAAAAAAACTATTTTTATAATATAACCATAACTTAGTTTCCAGAAAATAGATTACAGCACTGATAATCATGATAAAATATCTTGAGAATCAAATGAGCTGATCAGAATGCTTTTCTGATGGATTGTATGACACTGAAGAGTGAAGTAATGATGCAAAAATCACATTACACAGAAAAAGTTCCATTTTAAAATTGAACGTCAAGAATTTGGTTATTGTAAAATTAAAATAGTTTTAATTTAAGTTTTTAAGTTTTTTTTAGATGAAAGTAACAGTACTGTATGTTTGTTTTAAGGATAGCTATGAGCTAGTAAGCTCAAAAACAGTGACAAAATTCAAGTTTCGAAGATGATGAACCTGATATAAACATCCAAAACTTGCAGTTTGTAAATTAAACGGATCAACGTTTTTTTTTTTTTCATTCATACTTCAGTTTTTTTTATCAAGTTGTGTACCATCACAGTCAGAGCTATGATGCTGGCTTCTTTATAAAAGGGAAGGGGGCTACGCTATGTCGCACCCTTTCTTCATGCTTCAGTTGAGATTATGTCAATAACGTTGAATGAAATTCACATTTAGATGCACTTCATTAAATTCAGTTCTAAAAGTTTTTTTTCTTCTGTTGAAATCAAAAGAAAATATAAAAAAAAGTCAACAAAAAACAAAAGCAGTAACCATTGACTTCCATAGTTGTTTGTTTTTCTTACGGTGGAAGTCAATGGTTACATGTTTCTAACATTTACATGTTCCTTTTGTGTTCAACAATAGTGAGAAACTCATAAAGGTTTATAACCACTTCAGGTGGATTTAATAATGAGCAATTTTTCATTTTTAGATGAACTATTTTGGTGCAAGCTGTTTTGTTGTAGACAAGGGTTTGGGAGTAGACAGGTATTGCACTGAACTCATGTAATACAACAACACTTAAAGGCAAGGTTAAAGTGATATGCTGTGTGTACCCTTCAGGGCGTGTTGGACAGGCGGTGGCGCTGAGGGCAAAAGCGTTCGGCTTCAGTGTGATCTTCTATGACCCGTACCTGTCTGACGGGATGGAGCGAGCCCTGGGGCTGCAGAGAGTCAACACCCTACAGGACCTGCTCTTCCACAGCGACTGCGTCACTTTACACTGCAGTCTGAATGAGCACAACCACCATCTGATCAATGACTTCACCATCAAACAGGTCCTCCACACATTCACTGCTGCAAATAGGGGTGTGCAATACTAACAAAAATATTAATATAATTGGGAGGTTTTGAAATGACAATAATTACACAGTTTTTTGCAGCATGTTTGTTTGTTACTTGGCTGGTTAGGGCTGTCATTGAGAAATATCATGACAATAAAAATGCCAAAAATAAGATGGTGTCAGCAAAACTTGTTGACATAATTAGAAACGAAGCAAGTGACAAGTAGTGTTAATGAATCAATCATTGAATCAGTGGCTCATTAGATTTGTTTGAAATAGATCAAAGTCTGTCTAAGGAAAGTCATTTCACTCGACGACCATCTTTGAAAAGTCTCTCGGGCAGTATGCTCAGGAATTCTGTCTGAACGGGGAAACATCAAATTCTCTAAATGTTTACGATTACATTAAATATTTGGAATCACTAATAAAATTAAACAACATCAGTCTCATAAGCTTAGTTTCTAAATATCTAATTCAATCAAAATCAGCATATTTTCGGGTTGTCCAAGCTAATGCGCATGCACACTCGAGATTACGAGACAAACCTCATTTATGGCCGTTCTACACATTATCCTCCTCTGATTAGGGATCGTCTGGTCTCACTTGTCTTCTGAAGGAATCCACAACTTGATCTTGATGGCGAATCTCCTCCAGAAATGACAGTGACTCTTTGTTTACAAGTTTGTTTGTTTGAGTAGTTGTTGTCATTTGATGTGCGCTTGACAAGATGGACTGTATCTCGCGTTCATTTCATACAGATTACAAAACCAAAAAACTTTAGAGTTGCACATCTAAAAGTGCAGATTTCAAGCTTTATGTGGATATATTTCTTATGTCTGTGAAGCAAGTGTTCACTAAGATTCCAGTGCGTTTGTTGACCACCAAACTGTCATTATAGCACACGTCTGGTCCAAATTTTTCAGCTGGAGAAATGTCAGTCTATAGTGATCAATGATTGGCTCCTGTACCAGGAGGTGGGGCTTCATTCGCTAAATTGACTGTTACACTTTCCCTCATCGAAACTATGCGAGTGATAAGTCTTGTGTATTCTATAGCCTTTGAATAGGTTCATTTAAAAAAGAAGAATCAAATGTTTTACTCTGCTGAATATTAACCTGTGTGTTTCAGTTTAAAAAATACACACAGGTCTAAAATGTGTCTTTAAAAAAACATTATTCAGATTTGTTTTAATATTTATTTAATAATAAAGTTTTTACATTTCACTAACATAGATTTCCGTAGCAGCATCAGTCCTGGTAACTACTAAAATGGTTTCCATTTTGAGCTTTTCAAGTTTGCTTACATAATGCCTCTAAAAACACAATCCAGTTATTATTTTTCCATAAGCAAAAGGCTGAGCAGGTTTTGTTGTTATTATTATTACAGTCTTGATAAAAAAAAATCAGTCATTAGAAATAACATTCATTTTAATTCAATTATTTGAAAAAAATATAAAAATTTAGGCGGCACGGTGGCTCAGTGGTTAGCACTGTCGCCTCACACCAAGAAGGTTATTGGTGGGCCAGTTGGTATTTCTGTGTGGAGTTTGCTTGTTCTCCCTGTGTTCTCGTGGGCTTCTTACGGGTGTTCTGGTTTCTGAAGACATGGTGTAGGTAAACTAGATGAACTAAATTGGTCATAGTGGATGAGTGATTGTGAGTGTGGGTGTTTTCCAGTACTGGGTTGCAGCTGGAAGGGCATCCGCTGCGTAAAATATATGCTGGAAAATCTGCTGTGCCGACCCCTGGTAAATAAGGGATTAAGCCCAAGGAAAATGAATGAATGAATGAATAAATGAATGAATGAATGTTTTTTTTTTTTTTTTTTTGCGCAATTCTACTTTAAAAATACCACTCAAACATATATAAAAATGTCTGTGTATATACAGACGAAACAAACTCAGATATTCATATCAATACACCAACATAATTATAATGACATCATTTTCCTTCATTTAGCCTAAAATGCTTAAAAGCATATTTAAAGCATTATGCATTATAAACTACAAATACAAATCTAAAATAATTACAGCTTAATTATTAGGGACAAACTCCAAGCCTTCTGACAAAGCATATATGACTTTTTTGCACTGGGATTAAAGTATTACACTTTTAATTTTTCATTTTTGATCCTAAAGGTACTTTTGGTTTCTAATATAAAATAGAAATTAGTGTAAAATAACATTAATAATAAAGCACCTATTTTGCTAAAATGTATGATGTTTGCAGTAACACCGTAATTATCACAAACAAATTGTAAATAAGGATAAAGAGAATGAGTTCATCTTTTGTTTGCTAAACTGCTGCATAAAGTCAATATCAATATCTGTGCTGAGATGTGTGACGATTGAAAAAATGATAATCTTGCTTGCTTATCTATGTCAAATCCTTTAAAACATAATTCAAGGGTTATTTTTTTGCTTTCATAACATAATTCCAACTGCATTCTATTATATTTGATTACACAGTAAATGCTTTCAGGCTCCATGTCATGCCTAACAACTTAGCTGTGGTAAATTCACTGTAAACCACAGTTTCTTGGTGCTTATTACTTTAATATCACAACCTCGTTTGTTTCTGCTCATTACTTTTCACCAACTCTAGATGCGTCAAGGCGCCTTCCTAGTGAACACTGCGCGTGGTGGTCTTGTGGATGAGAAAGCTCTGGCTCAGGCTCTGAAAGAGGGCAGAATACGAGGAGCAGCACTGGACGTCCACGAGACAGAGCCCTTCAGGTGAATAACAGCATTTCATGTAACATTTCACATTTCCTCTGACATTTGTTCGATCGCTTGCTCCAAAACTCATTTTTATTCCACCCCTTGCCTGTGAAGGTTTTTATCGCAATGTGTTATTTGGCTTCAAGCTGCACAGACAAAACACTGGCGTGTTTGCTGAGAATGCGATATTAGGGATCCAAAGTATGTGAGCTGCTTCCCAAAAGAAGTTTCTGAGGAAACAAACTGGAATGTGAAACGCTGGAATTTATACGTCATCAGTAGTAGTGGCTTTTTTATTTATACATTAAGGAGTGATGACATTATTTGTAAAACACAATTAAAGGTGTATTTGACAGCAAGACTGAGATTCGGTCAAATTGGGTCAAATTGCTTAAATGCCAAATCTGAAAGCTAGTGTTACTTGTATTTTTTTATAGTTTTTGTAGTACAGTTCATTTACAGTGAGGTTTTATGGTAACACTTCAACATAAAGGATTATTAGTAATGTTTGTTAATTCATTTACTACTAGCATAAAATAAGTATTGCTTATCCTAAAGCATTTATTAATCATATTTTAACAGAGCTGGGCATTATGGCAAAAATGCAATCACAATAGTTATTTTCCATATTGAACGATAACGATTTATATTTTGATGTAAGTTGTTAATGCTTTCTGATTTAAAAGAGTCCCTCAACAATGACTGAAGCCACAAAAATGAGATGGTCCACTGAGTAGCATAACATTTTCGGCTGATAAATTTTCGGTGGCTGAAAATTCGGTACATCCCTAATATCAACACACTTCTAGATTTCCATTGTTGCACATTTCTGCTCTGTGATTGGCTCTTAGATCAATATAGAGTAAAAAAGTAAAAAATTATTGATATTCAATATAATATCTTCATCAGCCCAGTCCTAGTTCAACATTTACTAATGCATTATTAACATCCAAAAATGAGCTTGGTAACATTAGTCAGTGCACTGTCAGTTAACATGAACTATCAATAAACTATTTATTTTCCTCAACTAACATTATTAATGATTAATAAATAAATACTATTTTAATTGATGGTTCCTTAGCTACATTTACTAATGGACGCTTTGGGTGTATGGCAATACATACTAAATGCACCGTATAAATGTGCATTAATTACTCACTTATTGTTAGATAACTTAATTATTTTGAATGAACTACCAATAAATAATACCTCAACAGGACATACAGTTGAAAAATTATTAAACCCTCTGAATTATTAGCACCCCCTGTTAATTTTTTCTACAATTTCTGTTTAATGGAGAGAAGATTTTTCATCACATTTCTAAACATAATAGTTTTAATAAGTAATTTTTAATGATGGATTTATTTAATCTTTGCTATGATGACAGTAAATAATATTTGACTAGATATTTTTCAAGACACTTCTATACAGCTTAAAGTGACATTTAAAGGCTTAACTAGGTTAATTAGGGTAACTAGGCAGGTTAGGGTAATTAGGCAAGTTATTGTATAACGATGGTATGTTCTGTAAAACTTAAAATGGTGTTTTAAAAAATTAAAAACTGATTTTATTCTTGCCAAAATAATACAAATCAGACTTTCTCCAGAAGAGAAAATATTATCAGACATACTGTGAAAATTTCTTTGCTCTGTTAAACATCATTTGGGAAATATTAAAAAAATAATAATTCAAAGGGGGGCTAATAATTCTAATTCTGTATATTTGTTAATGTAACATTTAAAACCCCGTTCTTAAGATAAAAAGTTACATGTTAAAGTTTGCGTAAAACAGAATTTGCTGATTGTTAGCTGTTTTGCCGCCAAATCAATGCAAGCTTCAAGCAGCTGATTCCTCCCCTACATAAACGCACACACATAACGCATACACCCAATGAGCTTATTACTTGTGGGAATTTATTATCATTATTCTAGGTTTTGGTTGTGTGTTTGTGATTTTGTTGTTGATTGTTTTATATATATATATATATATATATATATATATATATATATATAAAACAAAAGAAACGAAACTTTAAGTCTGGTTACCAGATTTGTTAGAGGTGAAAGTTTGAAAAACTGAACTGTTGTGAAAGTGAACTTTATTTCTTTAAATTAATTATTAAGTGTTTTATTTACGTTTATATTGCAGGAAAGATGAATACGTGTTCCTTTTCTATACTAATTGTTATATTTCTTCTGAGAAAAATATAATTGTATTTGAAAATTAAGTGATTTTGTTGAGATATATATATATATATATATATATATATATATATATATATATATATTTTTTTTTCTGTTGTATATCAAAAGGTGTTTTGTTAAAAATGTCATTTGTGGCTTACGAGTTATCTAGGTTTCTCTAAAGCTAATTTTAAATGATTGACTTTTATTTTGTCTAGTTCCCGAAAAACAATAAAAATATGAATTATCTGAGGTTTGTGCATTCACCACTGTTACAGACTATTATTTCAGTATATTGGTGCACTTCCAACTGAAATGGATTATTAAGCAGGGGCTTTTCATTTTGTGCATCATTCTCTTATAGCAAACTAATGTTAAGAGGGGCGTGGTTAAGAATATTCTTGCTGAAGCTGTCAAACTGACGTCAACAGAAAAGGACCACCAGACTTAGATTGAAGGTCAACAAACAAACATTTTGCAGGGATTAATTGTTCTCCTAAACATTGTAAATTTAAATTTCACACTGACTTTTTTTATAAGTTAATGATTTGTGAACATTTTTATTAGTTAACATTAACTGTAAATTAAGAACTGTAGATATTAAATCTACACAAAACAAAAACATTGCTCATTTTTACTTCATGTTCATTGGTGCATTAACTAATGTTACCCAATTAGACATATTTTGGGTTATGATTTATCTTAAGGTCTCCTTGTTACTGTGGAACTATTCATTTATTGATTGGGTATTATTAATTAACTACATTTACTTACTGTATGGTTAAGGTTGATGAATGCATTTTAGATTTATTTGCAGGTAATTGTGCATTATTAAATGTAGTTACTCAAATTAGTACGTGGAACATGTGGAACAAGGACAGCATTAAAATAAAGTGTTGCCATATTTTGAATTAATGTATATTTTAATATTTTATAGTTGGTTTACATTAGTCTAAACTTTTCATTCCATTATATTTAAACTTACAGCATGAAAATGTTTTGAATATTTTTAGTTTTTTAAATGGTAATACTAGCTCTGAAGCAATGCTTCTGCAGAATATTTCCGTTACGTCCGGGGCAAGAAAAGTTTGGAATTAATAATAAAATTGGTCACACTGAGTTTCCCAGTGCTAGGTTGCAGCTGGAAGGGCATCTGCTGCGTATAACATATGCTGTATAAGTTGGCGGTTCATTTCGCTGTGGCGACCCCAGATTATTAAATGGACTAAGCCGAAAATAAAATAAATGAATGTATTCTCACTGATAACCAGGGCGTTACATTAACACCCGCCAACCCGCCAAATGCAGGCAGATTTCAGCTCTGGCAGGTTAGACAGACACCTTCACTAGCCACTTTGGCTGGTTGGAAATCATTTTTAAATTGTAGTTTTACCCACAGTCTTGCTGCTTTTGAGAGCTCAAGATAAAAAAAAACAAATATTCTTTTGTAAGCAGTAGCAGTCACTGCTTTCATTTGAATTATTCTTTGAACAGATTAACAGGCCTATACTAACCGTGTGCATGTGAACATCCTTTCATTATCACACACAGTATGTTTCACCTGCTTTCTTTTGCTTAGTTCTTTTTGTTAATATGCTTTAATTATATTTTTTTACAATAACATTGCTTTAATGGGAGAAACATTGTGGCTAAGAAATACTTATTTGGTGTGGTCAGAGATAAATTTGTTAAATCCTTTGAGCCGTAAAAAGAAAATGAATTGTTAATTCTGTGTGAACATGACCAGCATGTGACCATTTAAACACATTTAAACAAACCGAATAGCAATGCAGTTGTCAGAAACATGTCTCCTTGCAGCAGACTGTCTTTTGTGTGACTCTCTTGTGTGTGTCAGTTTTAGTCAAGGACCCCTTAAAGACGCCCCCAACCTTATCTGCACCCCTCATGCGGCGTGGTACAGTGAACAGGCCTCGATTGAGATGCGGGAGGAGGCGGCACGGGAGATCCGACGAGCTATTACTGGTACGTCCTCACATCATGACACCATCAGTTCCACTTTTTAATGACAAATGTCAATTGATTCGAGAGCATTGGGTGTCTGACCCCTTCATCCGTCCAGTAAAAAAAAAAAACATTCTTTAGCTCAACAGCTTTGATGTGCTGTTATCATTAGCCATGCTGCTACCATACACATTTATGAATTTAACAAAAATGTTCAATATTGCTTAAATCATTTCTGAATGAAACCTTATTTCCAACACGTGTAGTGTATCAAATTGTCACTTACAATAAAATTGCTGCAAAAAAATCAAGAATAAAAATTGAAAGAGAATCTGCAACAGGGGAAACCACTGTAGCTTTGTTTTGTACATAATAAATGACCCAGAGTTTGCAGACGATACATGCAGTTAACTTTTCTTTATAAAAAAAAAAACATAGAACAAAGCCTGGTTAAATTTTTTTTTTATGTTGGTGTAAAACCACTTGGAAACCTCATCTTGAAACATTTAGCTTCTCTTATGCTGACAATAGATTTATAAACCATTCTCTTAAGATGTTTGGCACATACTGCATATTCAAGAGTGATGCAGAAATGTAGATCATGTGGAACAGCACTTACTGTAAACCGTTTACTATTTGTTCACATTTTGAAGTGTGAACAAAGCTGCTGATGTGGAAAAGATCCCAGTGCCTTGCTTCAGATGACATCTACAGAATTACACCACATTCTTTGCGATTTGATAATTCAGCTAAACCAGTGCATTCTTAAAGGTATAGTTTACCTAAAACTGAGACTTCTGTTATTGTTAACTTACACTTTACTTGCCAAAAACCTGTTTAAGCTGTTGAACACAAAATAAGTTATTTTGTAAAATAATAAAAACCTGTAACCATTGACTTCCATAGTTTTTGTTTTTTCTACAGTTGAAGTCAGTGGTTAACATTTTTCAGAATATCTTCTTTTGTATTTAACAGAATAAAGAAACTTGTAAAGGTTTGTAAGCATTTAAGGGTGAGGAAATAGTGAGTATATTTTCATTTTTTGGTAAACTATCCTTTTAAGTGGGGCTTTTAAAGTGAACTGGCGAGTGGCTGTTTCAAATATTCACTAACAATGTCATTTGGTGCTTGTCGAATGATCATTTTTGCCCCTGCCTTATAATGAATGTGTGTTCCTCCTCCAGGTCGCATTCCAGACAGTCTGAAGAACTGCGTGAACAAAGAGTTCCTCACACAGACCACGCATTGGGCCGGCATGGACCCTGCAGTTGTTCATCCAGAGCTCAATGGAGCCTACAGGTAAAACACTCTACTGACAAGTCACTTCTTCTCGACTCAATGGAGCATACGTAAATATATATATAGCTCAGCATAAATGAGTACACCCCATTTTGAAAATAAATATGTTTTCATTTGATCCATTTCTCAGTTAATATAGGTAATGTATTTTAGTACATTTAAACAAAACTGATTTATTAAACTTGTATTTTTATTAAAATAAGATTTTAGTCACCAAACATGATAATACAATTAAATTCAAGCAAAATATTGAAAAAAAATGACAACCTACGAAATTTCAACTATTTAAAAAAAAATTCTTCACTTGATTTTTCCTCCTTAAAAAAAAAAAAATAATAATAATAATAATTTTCTCCGACATATAAATTTGGCTGTACTAGTTTATAGATCGTTATCTTCAGTATTTTGTTAGATAAGCTCCAGATTTGGCTTGAGTACTGACTAATCTATATATTCATATGATTCATAATATTCATTTTACAAAACAAAAGATAAACAAATGTGTAAACAGTAGTTGAGAGAAATAGGCTTTTTGTGTACATAGAAAAAGATTCAAATCTCTGAGTATCTAAAAAATGGGAGCAAAACAAATGTGTTGGCTTTCTATTTTTGTTCGTGTACATTTAATAACATGAACTAATGGAAGCTTATTGTAAAGTGTGAACAAAACTGTGTACAATCTAAAAAAAAAAATAAAAAAGGTGTATTTTGTAGGCCTTAAAGCACTCGGGAAAGTTGGTTCTTTACTAAAAATGTATGCTTTTATTCACATTTTATGCATCTCTTATTGGTCAAAATGGACCCAAATGCATAATTATTAGGATTATTATACACATACAATTGAAGTTGGAATCATCAGCCCTTTTGTCAAATTTGAATTCTTTTATATTTTTTTCCAAGTTCTGTTTAACGGAGAGAAGACTTTTTTCAACACATTTCTAAACTGATTTCTTTTATCTTTGCCATGATGATTGTCATTTTTTAAGATACTAGTATTCAGCTTAAAGTGACATTTAAACATTAAACTAGGTTAATTAGGTTAACTAGGCAAGTTAGGCATAGGTAGGGCCACCCGGAATCTGTGCGCACAGATTTCTGCAGATTTTTAGCCTATCATAAATTCTGTTTATTTACTTGAGCAAATGTGTGTAATTCTTTATTTATTCAGTTTTTTTTATTAATATCAGTAATATTATTGACTAATGTGAAAATGTTCATCTGATTTATGTACAATGCAGTTTGTACAGTAATATTTTCTGTCTTTTACTAAATATATTATATGACAAATTTGCTTTATTTACCAAATAAAGTGGATCTAATTGGATTTGTGCTTTAAACATTAAATAAAAGTTAAAAAGATATTATTTTTTTATTTCATATATTAAGGTTTTAGTTATGATACTCCCAAAAAACTTCCACAGAAATCCGCAGACTTTTACCAAAATTCTCTGCAGAAAGAGCAAAAAACGTCCGCAGATTCCGTCTGGCCCTAGGCATAGGCAAATCACTAGCTGCGTCCCAAATCGCATACTTATGCACTATTCTACGCCATTTTGTAGTATAAATAGTGTAAGTAGTGTGTTCACACTGAAAACTTTAAAAATAATAAGTGCACTTTAATTACCCGGATGATGCACTCATTCAGCCGCTAAAATGAAGTGTGTAATGATGGACACTTCACGCACTCAACGACCGCAGGTTTGCTTACGTAGCGGAAGGGGCGGAGCTATCGGACGCACATGTTGAATAACTTTATTTATTTTGGATGGTGAAAGCAAAATTCTCCTACGAGAGTGATTATAGCGCCTCCGGATGGTAAATGCGGCAATACTCACGGCAGGTATTACTTGATAATTCAGTCGTTTATTTCACTGATTTGGCAACAGTCAAACGTCATCAGGGAAACGGTTTGAATTTCCGCTTAGTAAAAAAACATTAGTGTGCCATTTGGGACGACACTACATACATATACTATCCTGTTGAGTGTGTAAGTGCATAAGTACATAGTGCATGAGTGCATAGTGTATAGTGTGCCATTTGGGACGCAGCTACTGTATAACAGTGGCTTGTTCTGTAGACAATTGAAAAAAAAAAAGTTGCTTAAGGGGGTTGATAATTAACGACTTTAAAATAGTTTTAAAACACTTTTATTCTAGCTGAAATAAAACAAATAAGACTTTCTTCAGAAGAAAAAAATATTATTGGAAATACAGTGAAAATGTCTCCATTAAATCATCAAAAAGAATACATATTTTACATGAGGGCTTATAATTTTGCTCAACTGTAGATCTGTACTGCATATACAAACAGTTAAAGTTAAATTATTAGCCCCCTCTTTGATTTATTTATTTATTTATTTATTTTTAAATATTTACCAAATTATTTTTAACAGGGCAAGTAAACTTATAGTATGTCTGATAATATTTTTTCTTCTGGAAAAAGTCTTATTAGTTTTATTTCGGCAAGAATAAAAGCAGTTTTAAATTTTTTAAACACCATTTTAGGGACAAAATGATTAGCCTCTTTAAGCTAATTATTTTTTCGACTGTCTACAGAACACACAATTGCTATACAATAGCTGGCCTAATTATCCTAACCTGCCTAGTTGACTTAAATAACCTAGTTAAGCCTTTAAATGTCACTTTAAGCTGTATAGAAGCGTCTTGAAAAATATCTAGTCAAATATTATTTACTGTCATCATGGCAAAGATGAAATAAATCAGTTATTAGAGATGAGTTATTAAAACTATTAAGTTTAGAAATGTGTTGAAAAAATCTGCTCTCCGTTAAACAGAAATTAGGGAAAAAAATAAACAGGTGGTCTAATAATTCAGGGGGGCTAATAGGTCTGACTTCAACTGTATATTGCTAATGTTGCTAATTAATATTTAACATTATCCCACCTCCGCAGGTACCCTCCAGGCGTAGTGAGCCACGCTTCAGGGGGTCTACCTCCACCAGTGGAGGGCATCATGCCAAGTGCAGTGCCCATAACTCACAGCCTGCCTACAGTAGCCCACCCCCCACACGCCCCTTCACCCGGACAAACCGGCAAACCTGAACCCGATAGAGAGCAGCACCCCAACGAACAGTTGTAGCCCCCCTCATCTTCAAACGTACCACTATAAAACTCTCCTGGTCCTTCTTAACCCCAAAGAAGAGGAGCGGAAACAGGCTCCCGGGCTCAGAACCAGCCACAAAAAACAACCACGACTAGCCAAACTCTGACTGAACGGGTGGACTGCGCTCTTTGAAGTATCTAATGGGGAATAAAGCAACAACAAAAACAAAAGAGAGAGAAAATCATGTGGATTTTAAACTCCCTGATGCAAAATCCTGCTGTTTTAGATTGTAGTCTGTCCAAGTGCAGTGGGCGATCTTTTATCTGTTATTTTGTCTGTCTAATGGGTTTCATTGTTAAAACAACTGTAGCTATTACATGAATGTAACCTGTTTGTGTACAGTTTTTAGGATATGATCAATGGTTTGTAGATGAGAAATTAAAAAACCCGAAACAGCATTAAGGGAGGCATCTTACCACCTGATTATAGATATGATGAAAAGCATATTAGTTCAGCTCGTTTGTTTTTCAAAAGCCCCGAAAGAGGCGGGATTTGCACACCCTCTCAGGAAAATTTATTTCCCCCCTTCCTACATTTCTTCCTTTTAAATTAAACCACATAGTGCATTGTTTTTTTTACCCATTTGTCTTTTATAGTCAGTACAGTACCTTAAAGAACTACAGTCAGTATGGTTTTATTTTCGGAGCATGTATTACCTTATGTGTTAAAAAAAGAAAACAGAAAAAAATAGTTTTTTTTACACGAAAATTTCACCGAAAAAAAATATTGACGAAAACAAACAAAACAAAACAAAACAAAACTCAACAAAAACAAATTTGTCTTGTGCAAAGCTGTTATGCTTGCCTGTTTGTGTGTGACTTGATTGTACCGTGTGTTTTCGAGGATGCCGGGATAGTTGCAGCTCTCCATCGCCTACATAGTTTCCTTCCTGGTAAAGTGGTAGGCTAGCAATATACATACTATATATACTATGAGATATTAATATTTTTTGTTAAACAGAATCCAAAAAGAAATGTTTGTGACTGTATGCATTTGTATGAATTATTTTAAATGAAATAAAAGTCTGAGTTAAATGACTATGGGATGTTTTTTTCAGTGTCATGCTATGGACAAAAGAAACAGTTTGGTTTCGGTTCACGTTTTCCTTTGTATTCGAACCCATATCAGAATATAAACACATTCACTGTCAACGCCCTCTTGTGGACATTAGTTCTGTAATATAAACAATGCACATCAAAAAGTACCAACCAGGCATCATGCTGAAAGGAGTTCATACAGGGGAATGATGCTGTAATTTAGTTTGCCTTGAAGAATTTGTTCGTACAAATGTATGTCATTGTTTATTCGGCCTCATGTTGTTCCAAAGCTTTGACAACAGGAGACGTTTTGAAGAATGTTCACGCTTTTTTTTTCCATAAGTATAGTTACTACCCAGTTAGCAATTAGTATGTCTAATAGATGTCTAAACATACTCATCTAGGCTAAAACAAGGCTAAATAATAGACGTCTAAGAATAGTCCAAAACTAGACTAGCCATCAAATAAACAGATGAATGACCACACATATAAAATCTGACTAATCTTTTTATTTGAGGACTAGTCTAGTTTTGGGCTATTCTTAGATGTCTATAGATTTTCACTAACAGCCCAAGTTTAGCCATGCTTTAGCCAAGCTAACCACATTTAGATGTCTATCAGACGTCTATTAAACACAAAATTGTTTGCTGGGCACAAATTTTAATGCTGTTAAAGTATAAGTCACACCAACATAAGTCATTTCCTTGGCACAAATTAGTAATACTGATACTATAAGTAATACTGATAATAGCATTATGGGCTGGTAGGGGGTAGCTGACATCATCATTTTCAATCATAACTTGATTTTTTGGTCAAACAATAGGTTTTTTAATTAATTATCTTGCATAGATTCCACCCCTTTCCTACATCCAGTCAGTTTGTAGTGATCTTGAATTTCATCATCAGAGAAGTATGCATAAACGAAGCACACTCTGGACTTTAGTTCACATTTCATATTAGCCTCCTACCACTCAACAGCCAATGGATAGAGATCCAAGCCCTGCTCTTTTTCAAAAATACACTACACTCCATAAAATATGTCAAAGAAAATATCTGTCGAACAGTTCCTCCCTATGCCCTAATCCCTTTAAAAGGCTTACCCTTCAGAGCATTTCTCTGTCATTCACTCCACAAAATTAATATTTGGGAAAAAAAACCTCCATAAAAATGGTTGGTTTTGAGTAATCCTCAATATTGTAGCTGAACTGATCTCTTTTGGAACACAGCATGAGTGTGTGTGACAGTAAAGCGGAACACACCCAGTAATCAGTAATCCTGTGGTCTGAAGGCTGATATGAAGTTGCCTTATGGAACAACCCTTCAGTAGGGTGGCCATAAATGTTTTCCCTTTGCAGTGCTGTTAGGAAACAGATCTCATTTGGAACACTGAAAGACTGTAAAATTAAAATGGAAGTAATCTGAAGTGCCTGTTTTTGAAGTGCCATTGGGAGATTGACACATCCAATTTGGTACACAGTCTGCAAGTGAAATGGAATGCAAGTAAACTTTAGAGCAGTCATGGATCAATTAGTACCGGGCCGCACAAGAAATCATTAATTAATTCAGTTTTATTTATTATCTGAGTCTGAACAATCTTTTATTTTGAAAAGTCTCTTATTTGGAAAAATGAAATTGAAATACTGAACTGTAATCTTTCAGTTACATCTGGGTCACTTGAGTGCCCCACAAGCAGTAAAATGAGTAAGAAATTGACGTCTTTGGAAAGTTTCTTTGCTAAGGCGAAAAGTGAAGGACCGGCGCACAGCCAAGGAATGGATTCGCAACTCATTTGTCAACAAATCAGATTAATCCACCATGGCTGTGCAGGAAGATCAGCTGCTGGAGATCACAAATGACGGCAGCTTTTTAATTTGTTGTTTAAAATGGCCATGTGGCTTGCTTAAACAAGCGGCGTGACATGCTCGTGCCTTCCAGATGCACCCAGTGAATGAATTCCACGAGTGCACTGCGAGTCACGTGACAAGAACTGACCGATCAGCTTCAGCTTGTATGGAATATGCATATTTCAGTGGACTAATTATCTCAGACAAACACAGAACTGATCAGTCGCCTAGCAACCTACAGCATACGAACCCCCCAGGTCTGTGGTAAAATTGTTGCGTTGGCCATCTATGGTGATAATAAAGTTGAGGACCACTGTTTTAGAGGGTCCCATAGCAGACATGCTATGCCACACCATGTCTTTTAAAATTCTAAACATTGTTTTCTATTAAGGCGTGTGTCAACCGAAGTGTTTCTGTGAGCACTGTTCTAAAAACATTCAGCAGTGAGTGCTTCTCTACTGTCAAAACTTTTAAAAACAAAGCTCTCCGCAGAGTAGAACAATGTCGATGCTCAGTGCCTGGCTACACTGCTAGTGTTTTAAAATCACGGCGCTTCCAATGACAACAACAGAAAAAAAGCTCTGCTTATGTTTCTGTAATTAAAACGCTTTGGTGGACACGGACCCTTAACGTGCATTTACACTGCTGCCAGCGAGACTGTTAGCATTCACTCTGGCCACCTTGCCAACATTGCTCTACATTCAAAGTAACTGACCTGCCACTGGCACTAACAGTCGAATATGTTTACATGCTTTTGAATTAAATAAATCAATTAAATTAAAAGTGTTTAGGCTTTTATGTTCATTTTTAAGCGCTACACTGATTTTAACATGCCATTTATGGAAGACGTTTAATAGTCTTGGGCTTCACGTTAACGCTAATTTGTGTGCATCCTACAGTACAACCTGGGAAACTTTAATATTAATCAACCTCTGTGCTTTGTTTTGCTTGGGAACTAATGTGGTCGGAACCAACGTTTATTGGACTGTATATTCTGTATACCCTCTCAAGCGGTTGACTCGTAAATTCCGATATGTTGCTGAACCACATCATAGCTTATAACCACAAAGTTGAGCTGATTTTATCAACCAAAATGCACTGGGCAGTTAAAATGAATGACTTCCGGCTACTTTTAACACTTGCTGGTGGCCGTGTGAACGCATGGTTAATGTACGCTGTTCAAATTACACAGAGTGACAGAGTCTTATATTTAATACTGTATGGCATGCGTTACCCTTAGTTGTCACAAATGCGGCTCTATATGCTTCTTATCCAGGAGTGCGACCGACTTTACACTTAAGTTGGCGGAGGGACAATTTAGAATTTTTCATTTGCCTAACCTGCATGTCTATAGGAGAAAACCAGAGCACCCACAGTAAACCCACGCTGACACAAAGAGAACATGCAAACTCTACACAGCCTGCCGTCTCTGCCGGAGCTTAATCTGGGGGCCTTCTTGATGTAAGACAACAGTGCTAGCTATCAAACCACTGTGCAGCCCTAGAACATAACGAGTGACTGACTGAAGTGAAATGGATCTATATAATAATCCAGCAATTCAAAGATCTCATTTTGTCTAAAAGCTTGCATACTTTTCTGTTACACACTCAAAAGTATATATACTACACCCTAAAAGTAGATACTTTTTTTGTGAAGGAAAAGTATGTGAATTAGGACACAGCATAGTAGTCTTGAACACCTTGATTGATTGGATCAGCTGTGCTTGATTAGGGTTGGAGCAAAATTGTGCAGAGCTGCGGCCCTCCAGGAATTGAGTTTGAGACCCATGCGCTACACCAGAGGTGCTCAACCCTGTTCCTAGAGATCTACCTTCCTGCAGATGTCAGTTGCAACCCATATTAAACACACCTGCCTGTAGTTACCAAGTGCTGTTCAGGTGTTAATTAATTGGTTCATGTGTGTTTGATCAAGGTTGGAGCGGAACGCTGTAGGCAGGTAAATCTCCAGGAACAAGCCCAGCAGGCACAAACATCATTTATTAATTTTCTTTTCAGCTTAGTCTCTTTATTATTCTGGCGTCACCACAGCAGAATGAACAGCTAACCTCACGCAGCGGATGCCTTTTTAGCCGCAACCCGTCTCTGGGAAACATCCATACACACCCATTCGCACTCATACAATACGGACAATTCCGCCTACCCAATTCACCTGTACCACATGTCTTTGGACTGTGGGGGAAACCGGAGCACCGGGAGGAAACCCACATACGCAGGGGGAACATGCACACCCCACACAGAAACGCCAACTGAACCAGCCAAGGCTCGAACCAGCAACCTTTTTGCTGTGAGGCGACAGCACTACCTACTGCACCACCGCACACAAAATCAGAAGATGTTAATATTAGGTTAGATTCAGGTCATTACAAAATTAATGTCTTCAAAGACAACTTTTTTTGACGTCCAATAATGAAGTGCAACTACGTTGATATTTGGTCTATTTTAGGTTGTGTTGGAAAATCCAACATCTGATAGACATCATAGTGGTAACGTCCACACAAGGTGTAACATGATTAGACGTTGATTTTAGGGTGGACGTTGGCATTGACCTAATTTTCAAAAATCCAACGTCTCCATGACATTGTGTGTACATTGGGGTACAACGTCAATATGACGTCATGTTGACGTACTGTGCCTGCAGGAAGGGTTGCGAACTCTTGTTCTACTCTGTATTGTGCGTCTGCACATATTCGTATCCGCTTGTTAAGTCGTAATATATGAAATACTGTCTGGGTCCGAGCCGCTACTCATTTGAATTGTAAAAATATTCGTTTATGGCCACTTTTTAGTCATATCACACATTAAATTGAATTTTATATAAACTCATGGTGTACACACCAGTCTCTGGAATTGCTGCTTCATACATAACAAATTTTTAATAATTTATAAAAAATGTATCTCTTTCTGGCTATTGGATATTAAGCATCGCTTTATAAACGTTTATTATTACCATTTAATAAGTCTCCCCATACAGTTTGATAGAGCACTTGAATCCAGAAACCGCTCCCATGACGTCACACTTAACAAGCGGATAATTAGGTTAAATGAAATTAATGGCATTCGTTTAGTCCTAATAACTTCTCCAGTTTTAAAGCACAATGACTCATCCTGAAGAACTTCAGTATGTTTTCATTGTGTGGAAAAGAGCAGCGTGAACATTCAGCTAATATTCTCTTTTTGTGTTCCACAAAAGGAAGAAAATGAAATGTATTTGGAATGGCACAAGGGTGAGAATTTCATTCTCATGTTTTGGCTGAGCTACATCTTTAAAACAAATCATCGTTGCACCAGTCAGCAAACTCCTGTAAGTACATGGTCAAAAGCATTCAATTGGGAATGCTCTGTTACACATTGAGGTGGGAGCGGTGATGACTCAGCATTGAAACTGATCCCTGCACATGCTGTTTTCCTTCCAGCAATGTCTCTCAGCAGACCTCCATAATTCCCGCATCCTGTCCTCTGCTTGTTCTGGATTTCGTTTTGGTGCGTTTTGCCATTGAACATAGGAAGAGGCCTTTGAGAGTCCCTGAGCAGTTTGTCAAACCAAAGAAAACCGAAGAAAACTCAAGCCTGAGAAGAACGAAGAGACACTTAATTCTACACAAGCACTGCAGAGCGTCGTAAAGCATTGTAAAGGCTCTGATTTGTATACAATCGTCATAAATAAGCCCTGTTTATGAGCAAACAGCTTTGTAAACATGCATGTGCGATCTGAATGATTCGGGGAAGCTGAACATTATCTAACCCGAGTGTTCATACTGCATGCCATGCTATAGCACTGAATCTGAGAGATACGTTCTCGTTCAGGACCACAGTTATACGTATGCGATATTCAACTGTTGGGGTTATACGTGTACATAATAGTTTATGAGATGCGGCAGACACTGATTTTCAGATCCAAACTGACAATAAAGGGCAAGAAATCTGTAACTTTTACAGAAGGATCGTCATTTGGGAGGTGCACTTTGTATTTCGGGCGTATTATGATGTCCGTTGGGTGTCAGTCTGTCTTGAAAAATGTAGAGGTTGTTGCTGGCAGCGATGGCGATGATGTTTTCTTTGGGATGCCAGGCGGTGTGGAGGATTTTCTTCCTGAAGTCCAGACTGTCCACGCTGACGTCAGTCTCTTTTCGTTTTTTGCCCACACAGACCCGGCGCGGCTGCAGAACCGCCCGTCTCTTACAAACCTCCCGACTGGCCTCCAGAGTGACGTCACGTCGACTCGCCCGGTCAAACATTCGGAAGTAGTTGTTGTAAGCCCCTGTCATTATCACGCTGCACAGGAAGAGAAGGATTGAGAAAGAACATATGCAGAGCAGCTGGATCCGCTCCAGTATGCATTTCAGAGGTCAAAGGTGATGTTGCAAGGGTTATGGCCTCACCTGTCTGTTCCGTTCCAGGCACATTCAAACTTGTCAAAAATACAATCGCTTTCATATAAAGAGCACAGTTTGGTTCGCAAGTAGTCGTGGACCTGAAAGCAAGAAGCAAAGATGTGACAGAAAAAGACTGAAAACTCAAAAAAACCAAACAAACATTAAAAACAAGTCAGAGGTGCACAAACTTGCAAAGTGTAGTTCCAACCCCAATTAGAGACACCTGAATCAGCTAATAAAGCTCTTTCAATGTATACTAGAAACTTCCAGGCAGGTGTGTTGAAGAAAGTTGGAAGTTAAACTCTGCAGGACACCGGCCGTCCAGGAGTCCAAGTTTGGGCACTCTTGAATTAAGTAAATTACTCAATCTTAATGAATTATTAGGTATGCTAATGTTAATGATAAGTAATGTTAATATTTGTTTTTATTAACATTACATTTCTTCCATATTAGAATAAATAATTATTATTAATAATTGTCATTTCTTCCAGAAAACTACAGCTGCTCAGAATGACAAATGTTTTTCTTAGTTATTCCACTAAATATTGACTTTGAAGCTCTTCTAAAGTTAAAGTTAAATATAAATAATATAAACATCAAAACTTTTTATACAAAAAAAGTTTTAGAATAAAACAAAAATAATGTTTTACTTAGAACCTACTATAAATTGTAAACCAAGAGAAACAACATTTTCAAGTGTCTTTTTAAACAAAGCTGTATATATATATATAGGAGCATGTCTATGGTGCCGATTTGGATTAGTCAATTATCTTAGGTTGCATGTTTTTGGACAGTGGGAGGAAACCGGGGAACCCGGGGGAAACCCACATGAGGATGGGGAGAATGTGCAAACTCTGCACAGAAACGTCGGCTGGCTTGGTAAGGGCTAGAACCAGTGACGTTCTTGCTGTGAGGCAACAGTGCTAACCACTGGGCTGCTGTGCCACACATCTACAAAAGGAGAAGGAGTAGGGGTGGAAGAAGGGGATTCTTTAAAACGAAGATGCCTATGGAAATTAGGCGTATTTACAGTGGCTTAGGAATCGTCTGATTGGTGAATCATAAATTGAATAATGCGGGACCGGCTGCAAGCAATCATAAGCATGTGGTCCTCTGGAAATTAGTTTAGGAATAAACTTCATTTAAATTAAAATATATATGATTTTTATTTATTTATTTGATTTTCTTTAGTCAACTATTTTTTAAGTTTATATTTATACTTTAATTCATTATTAGAGAACATTTAGATTTCACTTCAGGTGAAGTTGTGATTGCAAATCAGGGTTACTCCACTAAAGCTTGACATCTTAACTCTTCTGTAGTTAAATTTGAATATAAATAAAATAAACATGGACCATTTGAATGCAAAATAAAACTGAATAAAACTAAAAATAATGTTTTACTCAGAAACAACTATAAATTGTAAATTAGAAGAAACTGAGCATTTTCGTTTTATGGGAAAGGCTATATAACCATACGCATCTATTTTGATTATAAAATAAAAATTTTAAGTAATTGCCAAACAAATGGTACATTTGTTTTTATTATGTATTTAATTATTTTTTAACATTTGTTTCGACTGAAATGGCTAACTAAACTTTTAAAAGTTTTTCATTTTAATCCAATTCAATATAAGAGAAATATGCTAATTCATGCTAAATATAATTTAATCTTAGATGAAAATACATTAGTAAGTTTAGATAATTTTAACCTTTAACTTTAATTTATTTTATAACATTTTAGACAGTAATATTTAAAAAAAAACTTTTTTGACTGTCTTTATCTTATCACACTTACATTTTTTTACCTAAAAATTTAAAACCAGTGGTAACGTTAGTATTACAAATGTCTGAACACAAAGTACATTTATTTTTATATTAGTGAGGCTTGAATCCCTTCAAACTTAAACACTGTGAATTTTTGTGTGTGCAAGTAAGGGAGCATGCGAGATAGGCTACCTGGTATACTTCCACCGGTTTATTTTCCATGTTGAGGTCCCAGACTTTAACGGTGAGGTAATCTCTGGTGAGCAGGTACCGGCCGCTGTGACTGAACTTGACATCTGACACCGAGGAAACAATCTCTGAGAAGAACGACCGGCGAGTCGGATCCACCGCCTCTTCAAACACTAACAGCACATATAAACATACACAAACACATTCACTTTTATAATATTTTTATATTATATAAAAAAGCTGACTCAATATTGTAAAATACTGTATTTACTTTACCCAACACTGGTTTTAAACTTTAACACCATTTTGTTTTTAAGCGAACTGTAAGGCAAAAATGACGAGTGGAGAACTTTTACAGTCTATGGTGGAGACCCAAACCATTACAGTTTTAATAAAAACAAATTCCATTATATCCGTTTAAACCATTACAAATTCCATAATGACCCCTCTTTTTTCAGCAGGGCTGTCTTGGAACAACATTTCAGTCAACCCAGTCTAATTTTCATGCTAGGTTTAGGAATGAGGGAATTTCCTCTGGTTTTTCCCTGTGGAAGTTATAGGTTATGGTTGACAGGGATGTTGTTTCAAGACCGACAGATTATGTTCACCCATGAAAATGTCCTACTTGGCTGTACCATCTGGTATTTAATGCAGATGTGTGGCTTACGTTTGGCGTGTTGGTCGCAGAGTGCGCGGGCTCTCATGTCACAGAGGCGTGTAGTTCCTGTGCTGCTGCTGAAGGCCAGAAGGTGGCAGTGGTGAGGGTGAAACTCTGCCACGGTGATCACTTCACTCATGTCCTCCATGTTTTCTGGCTTCAGATCGACAATATCTGAGAGGAATTCAATGAGGAATCCCAACACACTAAGAATTGATGTCAACAGTATTTCAGAAAAAGCATTGCAACACCCTGGCAAACATTCAAAACTTCTGACTACAAAAAAAAAAAAAAAAAAAAAAAGTGAAAAATGCAGGGTTGTGTTTTTAAACTTGAGTTAAAAGTTTTTGGGTCATGAAACTGGGTTATTTAGTCTATTGTTCATACAGGATGCATTCCACTTACTTATACATTTCCCTTAACTCTATTTTGCTGACTCAAAATCAGCTTTGGATGAGTTCCACTTTGATTTTAGACCTATATGTGAACTTAAATGAGCACTTCGAATCAGGAAATCCTCTCTGTGGAGTTCTGAAGTGCATTCCACTTCATCAAGTTCTTAATTTTTTAAGTTTTGTGTATTATTGTAATTATAAATAATACAGACTTCCAAAGAAATATGTGTGTGAAACTCAAGAAAGGAGAGAAAACTTTGTCTAGCAACAAGTAGGCCTATGTTCTTTTAAAATTTTACATTAAAATTAATTAAGCAACTGACAAGTGGAAAATGAGAACTGATTTAAACAGATCAGTTTGTTATAATAAATTTTTTTTTCGCCTGATTTCAGGATTTTTGTTTGTGGTTTTATTGGTGGCATTTAGTTCTGGCTATTTTTTATATTGGTGGGACAAAAATAAAGGAAACGACTGGTCAAATTTCATTGTGAACAAAGTTACTTCACTTTTCAGAAGCAAATTTACAAATTATTAAATGGTTAGTTCTTTCAAAAACCACAGCCAAACCACGGAGACTATCATTCTTATTAGGGACACAAATTAAATAATCCCTACTCGGTCAAAGTCCATAAAGGTATCAAGCATCCTCAAAACCAACCATGCAGAGTTTATTTCCAACTTGCCTCAACACACCTGTCTGGAAATTTCAAATAAACCTAAAACCTTCTCTAGCTTGTTCAGGTGTGTTTGGAACAAAACTGTACAGGACAACGACCCTCCAGGAACAAGTTTGGTAACCCCATATGCCTTCATAGTCTGAATATTATGAAGCTACAAAAATATGTATTGTTTACACATAAACCAAAATTAACGGCTTTCTTCAACAGTTTATTCTCTTCAGTGTCATGTATAGGGCAGGTGTTTATGAGCACTGATGTATTTAACCCTTCCTCCTGAACACTTGAGTGCAAATTCCTCTGTTTGTAACAAAGAATAGCTGCATCCAGGGTAATATGTCAGCAATTCAATAGAGTATGACATGAATAAAAAGAACATTATTAGTCATTTATTGGTTTGTTGTGAGCACAAAAGTATTTTTGTAGCGTGATAATATTCCTATTGAACAATGGTCTGTTTTGAGGATGTTTATTAATATTTTCTAGACTTTGAAAATCTCTGGACTGTCTTAAAGGAAGATGGGGATGCTCTCAAATTTTATCTAAAATATCTTAATTTGTGTTCTAAAGACAAACAATGGTCTCAAAGTTTTGGAATATTTTTTTTTTGAGTGAACTATTCCTTTAATGGGCACCTATTATTACCCTTTTAACAAGATGTAAAATAAGTCTCTGATGCAACTATTTGAAATTGTCCCTTTTAGGCTTTGATCCCAATTGTGCTGTTTTGGTGACTGTTGCTTAAAATTTAGTTTAAGATTGTGCTCATTTCAAAATAGGGCAGAGCTACAAATGCCTGTGTGTCAGCATAATGGCAGATTTTAAAAAACAGAACTCAAAATGTTAAAAGAAGTATCTCAGAAAAGGGCTCAGTCTATGGAGACTGCAGTGTTCATTTGTGCACCCTAAAACTCCACATTTATAATGCCTTTTACTGTGTGTTTACAGCTTTGGCAGCAAGAGAGTCAAAATTTGCTACCTTCATCTCGCATTTAGGGAGGACGTTACAGCATATCACTTGCATTCCTGCATTAAAAAGTGCTTTCTAGCATGAAAATTGTGTGCACCTTATCAAACTCATATAACTAAAATATCAAGTTGTTGTGTGCGCTGTGGCTTTGCTCCACTTATCCAATATGTGTTTATTTGTCTGAAATATTCTGAAGCAGCTATACTGTTGTGTACTGTACATGAGATTTCAGCTTTTTAAAAAAAAAACATATATAACATTAATGCACATCAGTAACTCATCAGTAACTTCTTATTAAGTCCCTGCAAGAAAACATTGCAAATAATTGGAAATCTGGTAACCGCAATATTAAAACCCTTGGGAATAACTCTGGTTGGAACTAAAGTTCACTGCAATCCTCTCAAGTGGTGGACTTCTACATTGTGATTGCTTGCCGCTGAACTGCACCAAAGCTCTTTACCATAAAGTTTACCTAATTTCAACGGCCACACCGATAAAGTCGGCATGCGCCGCTCCTCGCCACTTATTGCCGTTATATTCTCATTAAAATGTAATGACTTCTGGTTACTTTGACGATTTTGCAGCCTTCGGTGTGAACACACAGTTAGTCGCTGACATTATCTTCAGCTGGTAAATTTATTACAAATGGCTGCTTCTCACTCAGGGCTGTTTATGCTAATGAGGCAGAGATCATCACTAATTTTTCCCCTTATACGACATGCACAAAGGAAGAATCTTAATCAAAGTGTTTCTGCAGACTGCTTTTAGCAAATGTTATTGTTATGAATTTTTACCATTAGAGGCTGGCTATATTCACACACTGTTGACACACACACACACACGACTGGGTTTTAACTCCTTAGAAAAGTGCATAATAGATCTGTTCTATTTTAAATATTAAGCTGACATACTTTTCTCACTCACACACATTTTTCATTTCAATACGTTGTTTGCTGTTTCCATTCCTGAGTATTAAGTAGTGCAAAGGTCTCAAACTGGATTCCTAGAGGGTCGCAGCTCTGTGCAGTTCTGCTCCAACTTTAATCAAACACAGCTGATCCAAATAATCAAGGTGTTCAAGACTACTACAGAGATGATTGTTAAGCAGGTGTGAGTTGGAAGTGGTTGGAGCTAAACTATGCAGATCTGCGGCCCTTCAGGGATTGTGGTTGAGTGTGTAGTTCTCTGTCTTACACTGAGATTAATAAGGATACTGAAGCTACGGTCAGTGATGCTGAGATGCCACAGGTTAATCCTCAGGTCATCGGCTGATAGGTATGTCTCACAGTCGCTGTTGACGCTGATGGAGTTGATGTGATATGCATGTGCGTTAGCAAAGACACGTCGTGGAGATGCCTCCACCAGGAGATCCATTGGCCGCAGGACAGGGACCTACACCAGCAGAGACTTGCATTAGAGATTAAGAAGAAACAGAAGACAGAACGTAAAGGAGACTACACACTTGCAGAGTGGTGATTGTAGAGAGGTCCTTCAGCCGGCCCTCCTCATCTCGGAGATTATACCCTTCTGCCCGCTTGTCTCTCTCACTCACCTTCCACAGCTTTACGGTCTTATCTGAAAACACACACACACACACACACACACACACACACACACACACACACACACACACACACACACACACACACACACACACACACACACACACATACACACACACACACAATGATGCTATTCTTAAACACTGAGCATTGTTGTGATTTAGGATTGCGTGAAGCAATTTTATTCAGACTGACCATTGGTGGTAAGGAGGAAGTGGGCGGGGTTATGTGGAGGCAGCCAGCGAATCTTGTTGATTTTCTCTTCAATCTCTAAACTTTTCAGGTAATCGAATTCAGGCTCATGACTCTGAAATGTACTATACACATTATACTCGCCCTGAAAGAGAGAGGTAACGGGGTAAAAATGACAGTCATTAGCATGAATTCATTATTTGGGATAGTTCATTTGGAATAGTTTACATATTACTCATTTATTAATCCTTAAAGGGTCAAAACTTGATGATGTTTTTGGTTGAATACAAAATGAAATATTGTGAAGGACGTTTTAAAAATACTAAAAAAGTTAAAAGTTACTAGTATCCAACATTCTTTACTTTGGATTCTTTACTTTGGATTCTTTTACTTTACATTCATACTTTCCCATCTTGCTTTTTTATTATTATGATTATTTTGCTGCTTTCTGTAAAGTTATCAAAGTAGAGTAAATATTATAATTATAGGTTAAAGGTAATGTGATAAAAATGGCTCATTAAAATGTGCCATGCATGTACGGTATACAGATAAAGTTAGAATAATTATAAAATTATTAAAATTATTATATATATATATATATTTTTTTTAAAATAATTCCAAAACGATGTTTAACAGAGCAAGGAAATTTTCACAGTATGTCTGATTATATTTGTTCTTCTGGTGAAAAGTCTTATTTGTTTTATTTCAGCAATAAATCAGTTTTAAATTTTTTTTAAAAACATTTTATGGTCAAAATTATTAGCCCCTTTAAGCTATTTTTTCGATAGTAATTTTTCTAGCCTGCCTAGGTAACCTAATTAACCTAGTTAAGCCTTTAATTGTTACTTTAAGCTGTATAGAAGTGTCTTGAGAAATATCTAGTCAAACATTATTTACTGTCATCATGGCAAAGATAAAATAAATCTGTTATTAGAGATTAGTTATAAAAACTATTTTGTTAAGAAATGTGCTAAAAAAATCTCTCTGATAAACAGAACTTGGGGGGAAAAATACACATATGAGGGTTAATAACTCAGGGGGGCTAATAATTCTGACTTCAACTGTATGTACGTATTTTTAGTGACATCAAAATGCTCCTAAGTATGCGGGATAAACCTAAAAAATCACATCCAAAATGTGGGCCTCATTCTTCATGTTGTGACATGTGTTTACATTATGTGAATACATTTTAGTTTAAAATGATTTATAAAAATCAATATACATAAGAATTCAAGTTTGTGCCCATTTAACAAAAATGTTCTTTTTTACTCAAGCTCCTGGTCTACTGCTTAGGCAATGTACAATACATAAAGGAGGAGAAAGGGGAAGATAAAGGATGCCAAAAGATCTGACGACCGGAAAAATGAGTGCTAATCATGGTGATGTCATGCGCATGCAAATATTATATATGTCATTAATTGTTTAATTATTTACATTATATGTAAAAGAATGTGTATGGGTCCAAGTTTATACGGAGCCATCTTGATATGAATCATTCCGTTGTTTTTGTGGGACTGTGTGAATTTGGATTTTTGTAGTTTTTAGGTCATTGTTACAAACTGTCCTTAAATCTATAGAACTGCACTGTAAAAACAATCCTGTAAAAATACAGTATAATGTTTTTCAGTTTATGATAGCAATAACCAAAGAATTTATGGGGAAAAAAACTATAAGCTGTGGTTGACAGAAATCTATGGTTAAAAAAACAGTAAAGATGTTTTTCAATTTACAATATAATTAAGAGATCTGTAAAATACACAGTAAATAACTGGCAACTGTGATGTTCTTCAATTTACGGTAAACATAATATAACTTTAAAATATAAGGTATGAAAATGGCAGGTTAAATAACACTAATAAACAATAATGTCAAGTTTAAAAGACTTTGAAACTTTTATTTAACTGAGGTGCAACAACTCCTTCAAACAATAGTAAAGACTGATTGGCTTCGTATAGCAGAATAAAACAGTTTTTGTTTTTAAAGTCTTTAACAGAAATCAATAGCAAAAGCATAATAATACAAATTTTTGTAGTCTCAGAAACAAAAAAAAACCCTTCTTATAATAATAAAATAAATAAATGAAAATGGATTTTTTGTAATTTTTAGTACATTGTTACAAACTGTCCTTAAATCTATAGAACTATCCACTGTCTTGTAATATGACTCATAGGAATGTTTACTAAAATAGTGCCACCACCATGAACAAGACACATTGTGCCTGTTTCATCGATGTAGTTGGAGATTTGCGTAGCTCGACTGATCCAACTCTGCCAAATGCGAAAATGTTAAATTTTTTGATTTGGAAGCAAAAATGTTGGGTAAAAATCCACATATTGCATTTCATCAATGCAGCATTTTATTTGACAATACCAAATTATATGTAATTTCATTAAAAAAATTCATTAATGTATTGCATATTTACACCAGTTAGAGGGTGTATTTTAAAGGTAATCATATGTCATAATGAGCTTCTTGCAAACAATCTATTTGGTGTTTTTCATATTAGAAACCCTTAATTTTTTTCATGCAAATATGCCATTATTTTGTTTTTATTTAGTTTACTCAGCTTGCTTTCTTGAGCTTCTGATTCATTTTCAATTCATTCATTACCATAGTTGCTCTTGATGTTTAACTAAATCCTATTTAGTTACTCATTTGTTGTGTCAGAATGAAGGCATCAAAGTACATTCAAAGTAAAATTACTTGCTGTCTCTGGAGAAACCATATTGTGACCGAATTTTAGAATTATGAGGAAATAAATGAACTTTATCCATTTTGGAATAAGGATGTAACATAAAAATATGTGAAAAAAGTGAAGTGCTATGAATACTTTTCGGATGCACTCTACTTCTCACAGGGCAGCGAGGCAACAAATCAGATGCCTAAACTTTCTCTTGTACTTATTGCTTTTGGTTTGTCTTCAGTTTGTCCCCTCTTTTTGTGGCTTGTGACTATTGTACAAAAAGTCTGCTGTTACATATAATAGCAGCTTCTCTTGCTCCTGCAATTAACATGACATTTCACTCAACTTATGGAAAAGTGCACAAAAGAGCACTGTACGGAAGTATGAAAGGTTTTTCTCTTCTTATAATTTAAATACCACCTGCCGCCGACTCACAATGGCAAAAAAATGATGGTGTACAGTGACAAACTAAAAGGTATTGGTCATTTTAAAAAGTGTTTCATCTTTGTGTTTCAATTTAGTGTCTGTGTAAAGTGTGAACCTGCAAATATTTTTATCTCTCACCAGTGGTTCTCTCTGAAAGATGACGACCCTTCCACCTTTATCACCCGTGGCCAAAAACTCTCCCGTCTGGTTAAACTCCACCGTAGAGATGACATCAGCTGAATCACAGACAAGATGGAAAAAAGAAAAATAAATAGACAGCAGGTGAATCAAAATACATTTTTGGTCAACACCAAAATTTTTTTTTCAGGCCTCTGTTTATTTAAATGTGCTGTCAACTGCAGGTTTGCCTAGTCAAATATTAGAAGCTAAAGATCAGGTGTGCCTTGCCAAAGTAAACTGATGTCATATTTGTATTTGAACACAGATCCAAAAACTTTTTTTAATGACAAGGTGTGCATGTTTACATGGATTTTGAACTGATACAAAGACAAAGGTTGTTCCTCTTTAGCTACCTAACTCAAAAAAGTAGCCAGTTAAATCTTAATGGCATTATATTTAAGCTTATTTGTCTAAATTCAATCAATCAATCAATCAATCAATCAATCAATCAATCAATCAATCAATCAATCAATCAATCAATCAATCAATCAATCAATCAATCAATCAATCAAGCAAGCAAGCAATCAAGCAATCAATCAAGCAAGCAATGGGGTGTATTCACACAGACTTTTAATTTCCATCAGCCAGCCCCAGGGCTTCCGGTGAATATTCATCCTATGTAAAATCGCCAAATTTAAGATCTTTAAAAAACAGCCTGGCTGAGATATGATATAAAGAGGGTATCAGACCACACAAGAAGCACTGCATCATATTATATTTTTCCATGCCATGGTTTTAAAATATGCAAATTATTTTATCCCAGAGTTTTTGTGCTAACCTCTCTTTTTATGCTTTTATGCTTTTTATAACAACCAAATGGATGGTCAAATCTATATAATAAATAATATTTGAATAACAACATCAATGCTGTAAAAGGAAGGAACTGTATGAAATTGAAAATAGTCACATAAATCTTTCACTGGAAGTTCATCATTGGCTGAAAAACACTATCTGTGCATTTAGCCAATCAATCAATCAATCAATCAATCAATCAATCAATCAATCAATCAATCAATCAATCAATCAATCAATCAATCAATCAATCAACCTTTTTTGTTTCTTGAAATAAAATTAACATTAACTGAAATAAAGTCAAACAAATTCACTAATTAAAATCCGGTAGTTACCAAAGAACCATTTTTTAGTTAGGAATAAGACTAGTTTATTGATCTTTTGTCAACAAAAGATAAACAATTCCAAACAGATGTTTCTCAGTTGCTTTCTACCAAAATAAAAGATCTATGATTTAACATTTGGAAAAATTAAATTGATCTGTCATTTTAACTGATGTATAATAATAATAATAATAATAATAATAATAATAATAATAATAATAATAATAATAATAATAATTATTATTATTATTATTTTTATTATTATTTATTTTATTTTCTGTTCGGCTTTTTTCTCTTTTTTGAACAGCCAACTTATCCAGCATACTGTATGTTTTACCTTTCCACCTGCAACCCATCACTGGGAAACACCCATGCATTCCCATTCACACTTATACACGACAGACAATTTAGCGTATCCAATTTACCTATAGCACATGTCTTTAATAAAATAATAATAGAGGCAATAATAATTGTCTTTCTTTCTTTCTTTAAAATAATGAACATACAGTTTCCCATGACTAGTACATCACCTGCCTTTAGCAAGTGTGGCAAAATGATAGCTGCACACATCCACTATAAACATACTGTGTCTAGCACTGAAGAAATTTCCACTTATTGACTGCTTCATCAACATTCCCTCTTAAAGAAATCAACGTTTGTCTACTGAACTAATGATTTCAACAAAACCTTTGTGTTTTGAAAGAATTTAATTTCTTTTTGAGAAACAAGAAACTTAAATTTCATCAAGTGTGTCCAAATTTTGGTTGTTGGACTTATGAGAGTTGGTGTTATGAGAGTTGGTGTTAGAGTTGGTGTTATGAGAGTTGGTGTTATGAGAGTTGGTGTTAGAGTTGGTGTTATGAGAGTTGGTGTTATGAGAGTTGGTGTTATGAGAGTTGGTGTTTGATGGTGTGTGCATGTGATGTGTGTATGCAGTGACGTGTGTGTGCGTATGTAAGATAGTGCTCATGGATGGTGTGTCTGTGTCTGCCTGATGGATGGTGTTATTGTGTGTGTGTGTGTGTGTGTGTGCATGATGTGTGTATTCATTGATTTGTGTGTTTGTATGTAAGATGGTATTTATGATGGTATGCAGTAGTGTGTGTGTATGTGTGTGTGAGAGTGTATGTGTGATGGTGTGTGTGGTTGTGTCTGTCTGATGGATAGTGTGATGGTGTGTGTCATGTGTGTTTTGAATGTAGTGTGTGTTTGTATGCAAAATGGTGTCCATGATGGTGTGTATGCAGTAGAGTGTGTGTGTGTGCGTGTGTGTGTGTGTGTGTGTGTGTGTGTGTGTGTGTGTGTGTGTGTGTGTGTGTGAGATGGTTTGCCTATGTTTGTTTGATGATTGATGTGATGGTGTGTACACAATGGTGTGTGTGCACATATGTATGTGATGATGTGCGTGATGATATGTGTGTATAATGATTTGCATGCCGTGGTGTATGTGATGGTGTGCATTATGATGTGTATGCAGTGGTCTATGTATGTGTGTGTGTCTTTGTGATACTGTGTATGCTGTGATGTGTGTGTGTTTGTGATAGTGTGCAAGATGGTGAGTATGGAATGGTGTGTGTGTGTGCACATTTTTATGTGGTGTGCATGATGTTGTGTGTGTTTTTGTGATGGTATGTGTGTATGCACTGGAGTCTGTCTGATGGTTGGTGTGATAGTGTGTGCATGTGTGTTATGTTATGTACACAAGTGTGTGTATGTGCATGTATGTATAAGATGTTGTGCGCGATGATATGTGTGTGTAATGTTTGTATGGCAACGTTGTGTTTGTGTGTGATAGTGTGAATGATGATGTGTATGAAATGGTGTGTGTGTGTGTGCAAGGGTGAGTGTAATGTGTGCTTGATAGTATGTGTGTATGTAATGGTGTGTATGCAGTGGTTTATGTGTGTGTGTCTGTATGATAGTGTATATGCAGTGGTGTGTGTATGTGTAATAGTGTGCATGATGGTGTGTATGCAATGGTGTGTGTGTGCACATTTGTATGTGACGGTTTTCATGATGGAGTGTGTGTGCGTGTATGCGATGATATCTATGCAGAGGTGTGTGTGAATGTGAGTATGTGATGGTATGTGTGCACTGGTGTGTATGTGATGGTGTGTATGAATTAGTGCGTGGGTGTGTGTGTCTATGTTATATTGTGTTTGCAGTAATGTGTGTGTGATGGTGTATATGCAATGGTGTGTCTGTGCACATGTGTATGGGATGGTGTGTGTGTGTGTTACCATCTGTGTACTCTGGCTCCAAGGCTGCAAGGTCTGAACAGAGGACCGGGCTCAGCATTCTGGGACGGAACCAAGGGCGGGGCTGCAGCTCTACCAATCCTGCAAAGAGGCGGAGCTTCATGATGAGCATTAAAATGTGAGTGGACAGCCAAGAACATGCTACCAGTGTTTTCATGCCTGCCAGAACAACTCCCCTCTGCTGGACCAATTCCCAAAGACTAATATATTCAAACATACACACACACACACACACACACACACACAGAGAAGGCTTTTAATGTGTTAAGATGAGCCTAAATGTGAGATTAGTTGATCTAATCCTGTTCCACATCAATATAAACATCAGATTATGATGATGGAAATCCTTGATCTGCCACACACACATATCTGAACATCTCCATCTGGCCTAAAAGCAGGAGGATCATAGACTTAGTCTTGCTCATTCAAATAACAAAACAAGAATGCAAATGAACAGGAAAACACTCTTACCTTTAGTCACATCGCTGTGCTCGTAATCCTTTTCAGATGCTGGTATTATTCAGTACATATAGTACGATACATATTCAGTTCCATTTCTGATTCGTTGTGTGCAAAAGATATCTGTGAAGATGTGTGTGATGAATGAATAACACGCCATCCATTTTTCCTCCATCAGCATCAGGGTCTGCTGCAAAGCTTCATGAGGGATAGTTCCACACGAATATCAGCCAAAATGCAATGAAAACCACAAGCAGGTTCAGTCAGAATGCATCTTCCCCTTGAAGTCAATTCTTTCCTGCTGGCTTTTCCTGAAAACAGAGGTAAACACATGACAGCTGGACCTGTGCGTAGGCATACTGATGTTTGTGCAAAAGAATGAGGGAGGGGTGAAGATTCTGTCTATTTTGCTGCATAGACTCCTCCTACGACGCACATCACAGAGAGAGAGATGTTAAGTGACGGGAGCTTGGCCAATGAGGGGACTGGTCAGTGAGTGGAGGCCAATGAGAGAACAACTGAGCATCACGCTGAGCGGCAACCCCCCACTACAGCATCACACTGATACAACGAGAGGAGCGGTTGCCTGGTAACCGCATCTGTCTGTGAGAGCAGAGCACGAGTCTGAGAGGAAACATGAAGCTCTGGTGTGATTACATAAAGATGCGAGAAAACTGGAGGATAACTGGACAAAAAGTATATGCGCTGAAATCAATGTTTAGGTTGCAAATAAATGTTTTTTTTAAATTTATTTTTTATTTGAACTTACTTAAAATGATAAAATGAGAGAAATAAAAAATTTTCTATTGTAGTAATATTACACCTACGATTATATTAAAGTAATAGAAATAAAACAATAGAAAGAGTTTTTTAATTGAAAGTTTGTGACATTTTAACATTTAAAACAAAGAAAAACACAACACACTGTAGTTAATAATTGAGTTTTGTAATTTTAATTTTGAATAAAAAAATAAAATTCTTAATTAAAATAATAATAAGAAAAATGTATTTAGTCCCATTATTAATCAGGAGTTGCCACAGGGGAATGAAACATTAATTTATCCAGCAAATGTTTTACACAGTGGATGCCCTTCCAGCTGCAACACATCACTGGGAAACATCCACACACTCTAAGTCACACTCAAACACTACGGACAATTTTAGCTTACTTAATTGACCTATAGCACATGTCTTTGGACTGTGAGGAAACACGGGGAGAACATGTAAACTCCACACAGAAATGAAAACTGGCCCAGCCGAGCCTTAAACCAGTGACCTTCTTGCTGTGAGGCAAACGTGCTACTTTCAATTTTTACAAATAGTTAAAAAATAAATATGATTCGATTAAATGAAAACAAAATAATTTAATAAATTAAACTGCAAACAGTCGTTTCCTTAACTTTTTCCTGTATGAATTTAATGAAATACTTTTTTAAATGACTGTTTCCAATTCACAAGCCATTAGAGCAGGGGTCACCAATCTCGGTCCTGGAAGGCCGGTGTCCCTGCAGGATTTAGCTCCAACTTGCCTCAACACAACTGCCTAGGTTTTTCAAGTATACCTTGTAAGACCTTGATTAGCTTGTTCAGGTGTATTTGATTAGGGTTGGAATTAAAATCTGCATAACACCGGCCCTCCAGGAACAAGTTTGGTGACTACAGCATTAGAGCATAAAAAACAACAACAACAAAAACAACAACAACAACAATAATAATATTATTAATAATAATGGCGCGGTGGCATAGTGGGCAGCACTATTGCCTCACAGCAAGAAGGTCGCTGGTTCGAGCCCCAGCTGGGCCAGTTGGCGTTTCTGTGTGTGGTGTGCATGTTCTCCCTGTGTTTGAGTGGGTTTCCTCCGGGTGCTCCGGTTTCCCCCACAGTCCAAAGACATGCAGTATAGGTGAATTGGGTAAGATAAATTGTGTTTGTGGGTGTTTCCCAGTGATGGCTTGCAGCTGGAAGGGCATCCGCTGTATAATATTTATGCTGGATAAGTTGGTGGTTTATTCTGCGGTGGCGACCCCAAATTAATAAAGGGACTAAGCCGAAAAGAAAATGTGTGAATAATAATAATAATAATAATAATAATAATAATAATAATAATAATAATAATAATAATAATAACCCTGTAAGGCATTACATAAAATAATAGATTTTTTTTAATTGATGTGGGGTTGTTGACCAAACATTTAGACAAAACAACAACAACAAACAGCAAATGTGTTTTTTATCATCTGAAACATTAAGCTGAAAAATAAGCGGCGCGTTCAGTGTACATGCAGTGTACAAACAGTGATTAAATATATTTATATAGTGATTAGCCCTGTAGTTTTAATTGTGTGCAGTAATCACTGAACATTTCTAAACATATGAAACAAACTTTTAAATTCACTTTAAAAACTTCTGCAAATAAACATATAGACAGCAATGCAAATGAAATATTTCAATAGTTATTTAGTTACTCCGAAAGGCTTTTACTTGCTAAAAGTAAAAAATAATGATATTAACTATCACTTAGATGTCAGAAGGCATAAAAACATGTTTCTCAGTAAATCTTTTAACATGTTGATCATTTAGAGGACATTGAACACACACACACACACACACACACACACACACACACACACACACACACACACACACACACACACACACACACACACACACACACACACACACACACACACACACACACACACACACACACACACACAAAATAGATCAACAACTTTTGTTTACAGCCTTTTTATATTTTACATAAAACATGTGTACATACAGTTCACAAGGTGGAAACATAGCTTGCAATTATAAAATAACTTTCTGCAAAAGTGACGGAAAAAGGAAACAATGTTTTTAGCTACTACATTTCTGGAGTTACAACCATTCTTTGCACATTAGTGTCACATATCCTGGTTGGGGGAGGAGTCTTTATGCAAATATAGACCAACTGAATGAAAGTAAAAATGATAACAGATATGTCCAAGACAAAAGCAACACAAGTCAGGTAAAGCAAACCTCTTCTTATTATTCATTTGCTCTGAGTTTTCCTTTACACATGAAATGAAGGGCTCTGGAATATTATTTAAGCTATGCTTTCTTCTTAAAGATGATAAAAACATGTTGGGTTTGTGGAGAAAGTTACCAGAGGAACTAGAAAAGTCTGATAAAGCATATTTGGTCACACTTTACAATAAGGTTCATTAGTTAATGTTAAGTAATGCATTTACTAACATGAACAAACATTGAACAATACATTTACTGCAGTATTTATTCATGTTAATAAAAGTTAGTTAATGAAAATACAGTAGTTCATTGTTCATGTTAACTCATAGTGCATTAACTAATGATAACAAGCATGGACTTGAATGTTAATAATGCATTAGTTAATGTTCAATTATGATTAATAAATGCTGTACAAGTGTTGTTCATGATTAGTTCATGTTAGTAAATGCATTAACTAATGAGCCTTATTATAAAGTGTTACCGCATATTTTTACTAAACATGTGTTGAGTTGTTTAAACTTAAATTTAAATCACTTTGGACAAACCCAACCTCATGAACTGATTTTTGATAGCTTGTCAATGTTTACTTTCTGAAGTTCTGAAAGTGATTCAGTGATACTTTTTTTGTTGCTTGTACTGTTAGTGTGATCTATTAGTATTTTGATTGATTTATTACAGAGTGTACCTTTATTGCTAGTGCTTTTGCTGTAAACAGGCCTTTACATAATTAAAAAGTGCTAAATACTGTTTAACTCATGTAGCTGCAGCAACTAAGATTTCAAGAGTTCACACTTAGCTGATGATTGATAATAAAGCTTGTTTGGCATGCCGTCCCGGGAGAGAGCCCTGAGCCCATAGGATCCTCGAGCTCGGGGCTCCCTCCCGTTTGCAAGGCGAGAGGGGAGTTTGAGCTCAGGTAGATCTCGAGCACTCCCCTGCTGTAGTAGCTTATGAGCAGATAGTGATTGCTCTTTAGAGATAACTACTTACTAGGAGCATGTCTATGGTGCTTTTTTTTTACTTTTTTAGTCAATTAAGTTGCATGTTTTTTAAAGGTGGGAGGAAACCGGGGAACCCGGGGGAAACCCACGTGAGCACGGGGAGAGCGTGTAAACTCCGCACAGAAACGTCAGCTGGCTTGTTAAGGACTACAACCAGTGACGTTCTTGCCATGAGGCAACAGTGCTAACCACTGGGCCACCCATCTAGGAAAGAAGGAGGAGTAGGGGTGGAAGTGGGGATTCTTTAAAACGAAGATGGCTTTTATATAGAATTTAGGGTTTCATAGTGGCTTAGGAATCGTCTGATTGGTGAATCATAAATTGAATAATGCTGGGCCAGCTGCAAGCAATCATAAGCACGTGAAATTAGTTTATAAATAAACTTCACATATTGATAGTCTGATACAAAACAAGCCTGATGTGCCATGCAGACACCCAAATTGGTGAACTTATTTGTGAACTGTTCATTTAAAAGATCAAAGAGTCTGAATGAAATGATTCACTTGAACAAAACAAAGCAAAATGTGCACATTAGAAAGATAGATCACCGTAGCCTGGGGTGTTTCGGGTGGTTTTCAAAGAACTACCTCCCATTCACAAAGTCCAGAATATGGCCTTTACATGTGCTCCTTTGTCCCATTTTTGACTGCTATGACCAAATTCTGAGTTTCAAGTTATATCAGAGTCCTAGTTTATTTATGTATTTATTTATTTATTTTTTACATTTTTAAAATGATGAATGATAACAAATTTGTATTTAAAAGTAAGTATTTTTCCATATTTCTTTCTTTATTTATTTTCTATTATTTAAAATGAAAAAAAGCTGTTTTCTGGTTATTTACATTTGCCTGCTGTATAATGGAAGCTTGCTCTCTGCTCCGACAACTTTTGATATTGAGTGGCTTTTATTGGGATTTTAGTAGTTAGTAGTAGTAACTAAAATAGTACGAAAACAGAGTAAAGAGCTGCTGGTAGTGTTTATGTATGGTATTTTACAGAATTATTTCAAGAGTAGAGATCACTCACATTATAAATAAACCTTAAACACATTACATGTTACAGATCATTTGTTTACATTGCTCATTGTGATGTTGTATAAACACATATCACATACATAGTTAGCAGGACTCTTTGGTCACGTGTCACTGGTTAAATATAGACCATTATTGTGATTGGCAGGATAAGTTGCACGCCTCAACATTCTTCAACTCCATAGTAACTCGTCAAGCAACTCTTCAGGTAAATCTAGATTCCCAGCTTTAAGTATGAAAGCATGATCAGTGAAACCAGCTTTCGCAGCACTAAGCTTTGGCTAACAAGAAAGAGAAGACGTGTAAAGACAAGACACTCTCTGTATATTTGAAGATGCCAAAACCTGCTGATGTGATGATAGCCGTGCCAGTTTACCAGCAGCACCAGTATGAAGTCGCCAAGTTCCTGAAGATTAAGCCTGCAGCTTTGGGGGTAAAAACATACTAATCAACAATCTGTGTGTATGAATTTGTGTATATGTTCTTAAAAGATGTCTAATAGATGTCTAATAGACGTATAAACATAGTCGTCTTGGCAAAAACAAGGCTAAATTTGGGCTGTCATTGAAAATCTAATAGATTAGACCAAAATTAGATTAGTCATCAAATAAACAGAAATAAATGACCACACATATAAAGTCTGTCTAATCTGTCTATTTGACGATTAGTCTAGTTTTGGGCTATTCTTAGATGTCTATAAGATTTTCACTGACAGCCCAGGTTTAGCCTTGTTTTAGCCAAGCTGTCTAGGTTTAGATGTCTATTAGACGTCTATTAAACAAAAATATGTTTGCTGGGCATACACTGTATCAGATGTTTTTGTTTCGCAGATTTTGGAAATATTTATATCATTACTGGGACTCGGTTTGACGATCTGGAATGTTCATTATTCTCTCCTCTGGTCACCAGTCAGCGTAAGTCATTCATTTCAACATCATCACAGTACATTGGACAGCGAATGCAGTTTTGTTTCTATTCCACAGTTCTTTTTAACTGGAGCTCTAACAGTCTCGGCTGCAAACTCACATAAACCATGTATGGTTAGTATCAACTTTATTTGCTTTAAATTAAAACGAATGCCTTGAAAATTACGCTTTTACATGTATTGTTTTCTTCTATCTTCTAGGTCAGATGCTCACAGATCCTCAGCTATTTTAACGCTGCAACAGCTGTTATCTCCTTTCGCTTTCACTTTTTTGTTAGAGTAAGTGCTTGCTTTAAAACTCAAACATGTAACATTCCATGAAAAGATGAATATGATTCACTGCAGATTCTTGTTTATCTTAGTGATTTCACTGTAAATGTTGATACTGATACATCTGTGGCAAGCTGTTTTAACATTTCATTTATAAACAGTTTTAGTATCTGTTTTTTAGATACTAGTATCTTTTCCATTAAGTACTAATACTTATTCATTATCTACTTCTTATTTAGGTACCAGTGCCTTTATATGTACTTTTATCTGAAGAATGAATTTTACTCACAATTAAAATACAAAGTCAAAATGGAATAGTACAGATCTATTTAGATATACACTGTAAAACCCAGAAAGTTAAAGTAACTCAAACCATTAGAAAAAAACGATTGCAACAAACCCTTTAAGTTCAAAAAGTAATCCTTATGAGTAATGTGATCTTAACCCATTTGAGTAAATGAAGCAAGTTGAGCAGAGTAAAACCCAATAAATGAAGAGAACTCAAACCAACTGAGTACTGTAAAACCCAAAAAGTTAAGGCAACTTAAACTGTTTGAAGAAACCGATTGCTACAAACCATTTGAGTTAAAAAACAAATCTATATGAGTACTGTGAACTTACTCCATTTAAGCAGAAGTAATGGGGTATTTAATTAACTCATTACCTTCAACACTGAGTTCAAAACTTTTTCAATTGAGTAGAATTAACTTTCAGCCAATTTAGAGTTAACTACACTCATTTCAATAGATAAACTTGACTGTTGGGTTTTACAGTGTAGATGTCAATACTTTGGGTAAATTTGTTACTAGTTACAAAAAGAATAGTTATTACTGATAGTTAATAGTTATTAGTATTGAAATAAGTAGTATCTAAATAATAAGCACTAGTATCTATTTAATAGGTTTAAGTCTCTTTAAGTCTCTCTAATAGTTTCTTTTAACCCTTTTGATGTGTACAATCCAGCCCGATTTAACAAGGAAACAACTATTTAACATATTCCTAGAAAAAAGGCTAATTTATACAAACTCATATGATTTCAAACCCTACCCTAAATCCAACTATCATTGGTGGGATGAGAATATCAAACTATAATGTATGAATGAGAACAAACAAACTCTAATGATTTAGCCAATAAACCAAAAAGCTACAAATTGCCATGAAATAGCATTGAACAATCATACTGTTATGATAAGAATGATCAGTCGCATGCATCACATGATTAGCCGGTAAATTCAAATTAGTTATAAATGTTCATTTATGAACTGTTAATTCTACTCATTTGAAAAGAGTTCTGAACTCTTAACTAAATCTCTCATTATTTCATATTAAATGGATTAAGTTCACAATACTCAAATAAAGTAGAAAAGCTTTTTAAGTTAAATGGTTTGTACCAATCGATTTCCTTAAAAGTTTGAATTGCCTTAACTTATTAGGTTTTACAGAACTCAATTGGTTTGAGTTCTCTTCATTTATTGGGGTTTACTGTGCTCAAATTGCTTTGTTTACTCAAATGGGTTCTAACCAGGATTAGTTTTTGAACTAATATGGTTTGTTGCAATCGGTTTCCTCAAATGGTTTGAGTTGCCTTAACTTATTGAGTTTCACAGTGTGCTTTGAAACTAATATAATTTCTTTCTGGTTCAAAATACACATTATTACACATTTAAATACACATTAGAACAAGCAAAACATTAAATTGATGGTTAAAATACAAGCTGAGAGGGCGATATTAATTATTTTTAAACATAATCGGAATATGTGCTTATTCACTTCAGACACACAGTTGTTAGGTAACTCAAACATTTACTCTATTATTCTCCCAGTTAAAAAGCTGCTTTCACGTATTTTGGGAGAAGTTGATGAATTAGCATGTTGTAAATCCAGCAGCTCAAATCTCTCCAATGCAGTGCATAAAATACATGTTTTAACAAGAAATTGGGAATCAGAATATTAGATATTTCACAATAGAATTAGGAAGTTTGTTTAAATTTGCCTTAAAGGAAAATTGATATAAGCATTAATCAGTGCAGTGTTTCATATGATAAACGAGACACGTCGCCATGAAAACTGTAAAGAAATGCATTATAAACAAGTCACATCAAAAAGTGGGAGTATTTAGAACTTGTGAATTAGAAATGTGTGAAATGGTTAAAAAAGGTACTGCTACCTAATAAATAAGCTCATGTAAATAAGAAGTACTAGTTGTTCATATTAAAGATATTAGTACCTAAAAATAGTTACTAGTAGCATTAAAACAGATATTACTACAGATACTAGATAGATTAAATGTTAAAGCGCCTGCCAAAATATAATTACAAACAAAGAAGCTGGTATAAACCTAGATATGTAGTGAGATGTGACAGTAACCTAACCCATTGTTTATCCTCTTTACATCTGGAAACCGGCTTTTGATTCTTACTCATATTTGAATTATTTGAATAATCACCGTGTATCTTTTATTTACTCAGGGTGTGACCTGCTTTCTCCTCTTGGCGTGTGATATTATGATCTTCATCTTCTCTATGGCTGTTGCCTTAACCTTTTGTCCCTGCTGCTGCAATCCAAAGGTAAACAATTAATCATCAACAGCTTTAAACATCCTGTGAAAGCGAATCAGATTAATTCAATTTATATTAAACATAATATTGGTTCTCTCTCAGTCCAGGCAGGCTATGGTCAGTTATGTGAATCAGTCAGATTTGCCTGTCAACCATATTGTGCTAACAAGCCAGTCGGATTCCTCTGCATTGGCGCAGCCTTTTAGTTCAGCCTTGTACAATCAGCAATCTCTGCCGAACTGCGGGCCGGTCCCCAGCGCATCTCAACCAAACTACAGTCCAGTACCAAGAACACCTCCACCACCCTACAGCCAAGTTTCAGCTGCTCATCCACGAAACTATGGTCCAAACCCAAATACTCCTCCACCTGCATATGAGGTATTTTGAACATTTTTAAGTAGGGCTGGGTTTTCAGAACTGGTTTGTGTTTGGAACTGGTTCCAGGTTTCCAAGAACCATGGTTTCGTTAAGGAATGTACATTTCAATTGTGCTTCAGGAATGCAGCTAATACAAAAAGGAATGTGGATTTCAGTTATACAGTGTTACAGTACATATATATATATATATATATATATATATATATATATATATATATATATATATATATATATATATATATATATATATATAAACAACAGTCCCTTGCAGAATCTGTCAAAATGAGATTTTTTAAAATATATTTAGCACTGTCCTGAGTCAAATATTGTACATAAAAGATATTTACATGTAGGTTTTGAATTAGAAGATCAAGATAAATTGTACTTAAGGTACCTGTGAAATCATTCATTCATTTTCCTTCGACTTAGTCCCTTATTTACCAGGGGTCACCAATGAATCGCCAACTATTCTATACTATTCTATCTCAAAATCACTGCTGGAAAGGGTTAATGTGCTGGAAACTTGAAGAATCTGCGGGATATGAAGAATTGTTATGAAGAACAACAGGAAGTTTAAGAGAGGCAGTCGCAGCTTAAAGTTAATCCCACACAGTATTAGGAATATGTTATTTTAATCATTTGACTTATTATTATGTGCTGTGAATGATATTTAAACATATATTGTGAACAATATCTTACCCAGGAAAGGGGTTTCCCAGACTTTCACAAAACACTATATATAAATTGTATAGTTGAAGTCATGATTATTAGCCCGCCTCTGAATTTGTTTTCTTTTTTTAAATATTTCCCAAATGATGTTTAAGAGAGCAAGGAAATTTTCACAGTATGTCTGATAATATTTTTTCTTCTGGAGAAAGTCTTATTTGTTTTATTTTGGTTAGAATAAAAGCAGTTATTAATTTTTTAAACACCATTTTAGAAACAAAATTATTAGTCCCTTTAAGCTTTTTTTTTTTACCCTAACCTGCCAAGTTAACTTAATTGACCTAGTTAAGCCTTTAATTGTCACTTTAAGCTGTATAGAAGTGTCTTGAAAAAAATCTAGTAAAATATTATTTACTGTCATCATTGCAAAAATAATGTAAATCAGTTATTAGAAATGAGTTATTAAAACTATTATATTTAGAAATGTGTTGAAAAAATCTTCTCCCTGTTAAACAGAAATAAGGGAAAAATAAACAGGGGGCTAATAATTTAGGGGGGCTAATAATTCTGACTTTAACTGTATATACCTTGATAAGGTTTGTGCATTTTGATTCTGCTTTAAAAACATATCTCGTATAAAATTGTGAATATGATCAGGTATGTGCATTTCAATTATACTTAAACATGTATCTTGGAACCAGGGATTTCATAGATTTAAGATACATCTCTAATTCTTATTTTTGAGTAATCAGAAAATAAATCTGAATTGATAATGATTCATACACCTTTAACCCCTATAAATAATTACAATAATTGCTGTACTGCAAAGCACTGATACAGTGTATTTTATTGCTGTCTGAAATTTTACCAGATGACCAGATGAACCAGACCCCAGATCCAAATGAAGATGTTTGACTTTTACACACTTGCTGGCACAGGATGATGGTGAATGGAAACAAGAAACGATACTTAACTTGTAAATAACTTATAAATAATTGTAATGTTACAGTAATAAATTATTTTGGAAAAAAGAAAATCTATGAATGTGTTTTGAATACATGTTGTTAAATGCTGAATTTTTACTAACAAAATACTAAAATATACAGTATGTTATAAAATAATACATTACATAACTGTTAGTTGTTGTTATCACTAATTACATTTTGCCTCTTTAATGCAACAAATTAGGGAGGCGTAAAGGGATAGTTCACCCAAAAATTAAAATTCTGTCTTCATCTATTTTGTTTCTGTTCAACACAAAATACAATATTTAAAATAATGTTAGAAATCAGTTGCCATTGATTTCCATAGCATTTTTTCTTACACTGTAAAAATATCTGTTAATTAACAATTTCTATATTTTGTGATTCACAAGTGGTATTCTTTTATTCCTGGTCATTAACGGGATGTCGATCTCTGCTCTGTCGACTTTTAAACAAAGTGACTTTCATTGACATTTTAGTAGTTTGAAAAAATAATGTATAAAAAAATAATATATAAAGGAGTAAGTCTGTAAAATAACTGAAAATGCACAGGCAGTTTATGACAAATGTAATGTAATGTGTATTTATATACAGTAGTGTCTTTATTTTGGATGGCCATACACCCAAAGCGCTTTACAATCATGAGGGGGATCTCTCCACCCCTCCACCAGTGTGCAGCATCCACTTGGATGATGTGACGGCAGCCACAGGGCAACGGCGCCAGTGCGATCGCCATACACCAGCTATAGGTGGAGTCGAGAGACAGTGTTAGAGCCAATTTGGTGGATGGGATGATTGGAAGGCCTTGATGGGTACAGGCCGATGGAGGGAACTTGTCCAGGACACCCCTGCTCTTTACGAGAAAAGTGCCATGAGAATTTTAAACCACAGAAAGTCAGGACCTCGATTTAACATCTTATCTAAAAAGATGGTGCTCACTGACAGTATAGTGTCACCTTCACTATTCTGGGGCATTAGGAGCTCCCTGCTGGCCTCAATAACACCACTTCCAACAGCAACCTAGATTTCCCATGTGGTCTCTCATTCAGATACTGACCAAGCTCAGCCCAGCTTAGCTTTAGGACGTATCTTTAATAATCTATGACAGTTTGTGTTCATTGAACAGTAAGAATAATTAATAAACACATATAAATACCATCCCGTGAAAGTCACGTCTTATCTTCAGTTTCAGGCTCAGGCATGCTTTGCACTCATCCTACAAGCGTACCAAGCCAAAGCCCAAGTGAACGGCGCTCTGGCACACCTCTTTCAACCGGGCCAGGGCCGGCCAAGTGAACCGTACCTGAGCCCGATTCAGAGCACTCTCAAACGATCCAGGAAAGGAGCCTGTGCACGGTTCAGATAGCATAGTGCGAGTAGGCCCTTGGTAAGTAACAGCTCTTGGGTTGCAAGGTGATATGGCTGTGGTTAACAAAGGTTTTTGTACTGTGATATGCAACACCAAATCAGACAATATGTCACTTCAAACTATTAAAAATGTTAATAAATGTCACTTTTTCTAACCTTTTTAGGGTAAAAGTTGTTGAAAAAAAATCAAGGTCCCATAATGCAATTTAACAGCAGAAAAATGAAAATATGAATCACAAAATACTGAAAACTGCTAATTTGCGAATATTTTTTACAGTGTTATGCAGGTCAATGGGTTCTGGTTACTAAAAATTATAAAGAAAAACTAAACTAAATTTCCACTTGATTGATTGAGCCCAGGATGAACAGACTAGAGAGTTTACAATATTCCGAAAACTGTGTATCAGGATTCTAATTTTATATTTAGGTTTGGATCCTGCAACACACACAAAAAAGCCCATCCTAAAACAAACAAACAAACAAACAAACAAACAAACAAACAAACAAACAAAAAAACAAACATAAATAAATAAATAAATATAAAATAAATAACTTGATACATCATAAGGAGTAGGAAAACATACTTGTTGAACAAGTGAGATGTCCAGAGAAAGCATTTTTACATTAATAATATTCTATAATTACATTTTTGTGATGAGGAGATGCATTTATTTTTACATTCTGGATCAATTTGGACTGGAAAATCATTATTTTATGATTAAATATTTTGCAACTAAATTATTTTGAATCTAATCATCACATTTTCATTAATGGGTGAATGTAAAAAAATCAAAAAGCCTGCTACTGTTTGCATTTACTCCTTAAAAAAAAAAAACAGGATATGAAATGATTCTTTGAAATATCAAATTACAAATGCATTTATTACTTAAGAACAGTCCAGATATATCAAACTAATTTATTAATTATATTCTTCATATGTTATATTACAAGTATTTTAGACACTTCAATTCATGTTCTGAACACAAAAAACAAATAAAAAAAGATCAGAGCTATTCGTGCTAATTTATCCCATATGTGGTTCACAAAACTGTACAGTATGTTATATATTTTCATGTAAATGCACCTAACAAATTTAAGTTGACCTAAAAGTGTTCAACCAAGAGTTCCTTGTGAGGTTGAACACAGGAAAGAGAGCACAGATATGTGTAGAAATTCAAAAGTTAAATATGCATACTTTACTGAAGGAGAGAGTGCTCTTAGAGTTGTAACAACAGTTTAACGATAAGATGATTATTAATGATCAGTGTAAAATAGTATAAGTCTGATATGAGTCTATTCATCAGAAGCTTTGGCTTTGTCTCTGGGGACTCTGCCCATGTTATAAAACTCTGTGTTAGGTCTCATGTCAGTCAGATGGGCCATGCGGTTCGACAAGGCAAAGAAAGCAGCGATGGCAGCAATGTCCCAAATATCTTCTCGGTCAAAACCATGAGCCTCAAGTGTACTGAAATGTTCCTCTGTTACCGTTTCACTCCTGCAAATGGTCAGAGCAAAGTCCAGCATGGCTTTCTCACGGCCGCTCACATCGGCAACCCTGTAATTTACTGCAACCTGTGGGTCCAGACAGTGCCATTAAAAGCAATTAAAAACGTACTTGATTCTCACTTTCACCAGTCAGCCTTCTCTTATTTATTGGGTTACTGGAATATGGAGACTGAGAGGGTGTTTTACATTATTTTGATGCAAATGCAAGTACCTGATCAGCCAGCGTGGGTTTTTTGGAATAGATGCGGTGCAATGCACTGTGGGATACCACACAGTACAAGCAGTTATTGTGTGCGCTGGTCACAACAACAATCAGTTCCCGATCTGCTTTTGACAAACCACCTGTTATAAAAGCACAATAACAATAATCACATGCTAAGTTCATGGAATAATTACATTTCAACAGATATATTTTTAATTAAAGGTAAACTATGTCATATAAAAATTATATACACTACCTGACAAAAGTCTTGTCACCTATCCAAGTTATAGGAACAATAAACAATAACTTGACTACTAGTTGATCATTTGCTATTAGAAGTGGCTTATATGAAAGACAAAGGCCTCTAGATTACGCTTATTTTACCAAAATAAAATATGATCATGCCTTGACTTTAAATCATTTAATTAGACAGTAAGGTCTGATTTTGCTTAGACAAAAGTCTTGTCACTAAACAGAAATCATGTACAGTATAGAATATAAAGTCATGGTGCAGAGGAAAAAGAATTAATATTGTGTATGACTCCCATGAGCCTGGAGGACTGCATCCATACATCTCTGCATTGACTCAAATAATTTATTAATAAAGTCATCTGGAATGGCGAAGGAAGGTTTTTTGCAGGACTCCCAGAGTTCATCAAGATTCTTTGGATTCATGTTTAATGCCTTCTCCATCTTACCCCAGACATGCTCAATAATGTTTATGTCTGGTGACTGGGCTGGCCAATCCTGGAGCACCTTGACCTTCTTTGCTTTCAGGAACTTTAATGTGGAAGCTGAAGTATGAGAAGAAGCGCTATCCTGCTGAAAAATTTGCCCTCTCCTGTGGTTTGTATTGTAATGGGCAACACAAATGTCTTATTACCTCAGGCTGTTGATGTTGCCATCCACTCTGCAGATTTCTTGCACGCCCCATACTGAATGTAACCCCAAACCATGAGTTTTCCTTCACCAAACTTGACTGATTTCTGTGAGAATTCTGGGTTCATGCGGGTTCCAATAGGTCCTCTGCAGTATTTGTGATGATTGGGATGCAGTTCAAAAAAATCTACCCTCTGCCACTTTTCTAAATGATCAACTAGAAGTTCAGAGATCAACGACAAGACTTTTGTCAAGCAGTGTGTATATGGTGCACTTGGTATGTTTTTGTCAACTTTTAATGATTATTTTCTTCACAAGAATTTTGAAATATTGTGATGTGATGCATATTTTTTAAATTCACTTCATGTGTTTTTTATATGATATTGATAATGATAATAGCCTGAAAATTACATGGATGATATAGCATGTTAATAGAGGATCCAACAAATTGTCAAATTATTAACTGTACTGTAATTATCGAAGTAAACATGTAATCCTGATCTTAAACCAATTGAGTCACATTTAATGATTTAATCATATTTAATTTACAATCATAATCTTACTCTCGATTTTTCAAACCATTTTGTATCAGACCAGCAACTTTTTCATTACTGAGTTGATATGTATATTAATATTTGTTAATATATATACCATGTAATAAAATGTTATTAAATATGTTAGTATACATAAATTACAGTGATGCATTGCTGTAACACGTATTTACACACAGAATTAAAAAAGGTCTTCCAAACCTTTATGAGATTCTTTTTCTAAAGAAGATATTTTGAAGAATGTTGGAAACTTACGGGCTTTGGCATTTATAGTAGGAAAAATGCAATGAAAGTCAATGGTTACCGGTAGAGAAAAAGAGAATTTTGAGTTTATTGCCAAATCCGCTTCTCTGGTTGGGTCATGGCAAAAAATCTAATCCAAGTTCTACATTTTTTAAATACCACTTTTCTAAATTTATAAAAATATTTTAACAATTAAAATCAATCAACAGCAATAAATAATACACAATATAAAATACATAAATAATAATAATAATAATAACTAAAACTGTTTTTAAGGTTTACTTTTGAGAAGAATTGTACAATTTTAGAAGGGTTCACATTTATACATTTCATTTAAAGTCTCTCTAGATAAAAACTGTTAACATTAAAAATAGGGCATTTCATAAATGTATGTTTAACAGTTTGGTTTCTGTTGCAATATTGACATTTTGGGTCTTGTGTGTCCATTACAGCATCTTCTATAAACAATCTCATCATGTCATGAGTTAAAAAATTAATGGGATCTTCTTCCTACAGTATTTCTGGCTGAATTTCAAAAAGTTTATTTCTATATTCTGCTTGCTGCTTGTTAAGAATATACTTTTATTAGTGGTTTCAATCTGAAAGTTTTGCACTCCTTTATCTTTCCTGGTAGGGCTGTTTTGGGGGGTTTGTTGGCTTGTTCATTTCCAATTAGCCCAGCATGTCCTGGGATCCTGCAGAAATGATTACCAGTACCAACATTCTTTAAAATATCTTTTTTTGTGAGAACATAAACATGATAAAAATTTTTTTTTTACTCTGCTAAAAATGTAATTAAAAAAAATAATTCTGAACTTGTAAGCTTACTACTGCTCAAGAGTCATTTTATGAAACCTTCATATTTATATGAAGTCATATTTTATTTCTAACAAAACAACAACCAATTACCTGATTTAAAATAATGATGTGAATAAATGCATTCTATACTTTGATAAACTTTCACATTCAGAAAGTACTTAATGTTTCATTCAGCTATGGTTTGTCAAAAAGTTTATATATTCATACAATTCAGTTAAAAGTGTATCAGATAAAAGCAAAAGCTAAATATATTATTTAACTTTTGTATATTCCATGCATATTGAGGATCTTAAACGTTTGCAAATAGCATTCCTTTATTAAAATGCTGATGTTTTATGTATGTTGTTTAGCTATCTCTTTTTGAGTAAAACAGCCCTGAATGTGTATAAAAATGTGGATAATTTAATAAAAAGTAGCTACTAAAACCACAAAGCATCAATAAAAGGCCATACCACTTTCTTTGTTCATGAGGGCATTGTAATAAGAGAAGAAAGCCCGAAATTCATCAGGACGATGGGCAAGAACTTTGAAGACATTGGGCAAAAATCCTCCCTGTACACAGACATAACACATATTCCATTAGCACTGATTCAGGACTCACACATTTGTTTATAACTAAAACATCGAATGCATATGGGTTTAAAAACAACACAATACTGAGTTAATGACTTTTTAATTTAAATTTTTATTTCACATTATGGTAAAAGTGTATGCAAACCTTCTGTTCAACTTCTTCCATCAGCTCCACAATATCAAATGGCAGGTTCTTTCTGTTTGGCACTGGATAGCGGCTGATGTGATCTGAAGTGCTGCTGCTGCTGTGCCGTGTAACAGAAGACGGTACTTTCAGACCAAATTTGCTTGATGGTGAAAGTGTGTACTGCAAAGAAAAAAAGAAATGTACTATTTACTCATCCTCAAGTGGTTCTGAACTAGTGCTGTTAAACAGTTAATGACTTCTAATACATACGACATTGTGGCTAATACAAAATTATGTAAACACTACGTCTACATAATAATTGTGTTTGTATTGTGTCTTTATTATGTTTATATAAATACACACAGTCGACATGGTGGCTCAGTGGTTAGCACTGTCGCCTCACAGCAAAAAGGTCATTGGTTGGAGTTCCTGGCATATCTGTGTGGAGTTTGCATGTTCTCCCCATGTTCATGTGGGTTTCCTCCAGGTGCTCCAGTTTCCCCGACAGTACAAAGATTTGGGCTAAAGGTGAATTAAATAAACTAAATTGGCTGTGGTGTTTGAGTGTGGGTGGAAATGAGTTTGTATGGATGTTTTCCAGCACTGTGTTGTGACTGTATGGGCATATATATATATATATATATATATATATATATATATATATATATATATATATATATATATATACACACACACACACACACACACACACACACACACACACACACACACACACACACATATATATATATATATATATATATATATATATATACACACACACACACACACACACACACACACACATGTGAACTGTGAACACTATTGTACTTTGATGCTCATTTGCTGCTAATATGATTTCCCTTTTTAGAATTTAGAAAGAATACTTTTCTGAAATTATATTAAGGAAAAAGTCTGAATATCCGAATATAATACCAACTTTACCCCTATTCATTTAAATATAAAGTGCTTTAGACAACGAAAAACGATCATTTCTAATTGTTTCAAACAATTTATATGAGCTGAATTTAAATTAACAGATTAAGTTGAACATTGCTAAATTTAATTTGTTTAAATTCAGCTTGTGTATATTGTTTGCAACAACTTCATTATTTTTTATTAAATCCAATGAATAATTTTTCTTCTGTGTAGTTTCATATTAATAAACACATTTCATTTCCCCAAATTAACATTTAAAAGAGTAAAAATTATTTTTTACAGTCTAAAGTAAAAGAACGATAAGCTGGTCATTTGAATAATGTAGAGAAAGATTGACAGGTGTCTTTTTCTAGCCATGACATGATTTACATGTAGCTTTAAAGCAATTTATGATACGTCACATTTCTGAATGCTAAGTTAGTTAGTTTTAAAGACCTTACCAGCAACCCCAAATTAGAGCGTTGAATATACTTCAGAACTCCTCGTAGCGACATTATTAAACTTTACGCTGTGAGGTCGTTCTCTGTAGTGTTTTTGTTAGGAAAGTTAGAGCACAGCAGCTGTTTCAGAATCATATGTTCTCCTCGGCAGCCAATCAGCGAGAGATAATCCGACACGCCTCCTGCTTGTTCAACCAATAGCATCCCTGGATGTAATTTCCTGTTTACAGTTCTGGAGGAAATGAGGCAAATTGAAATTACGGAAGCATTGTCAAAGTAAAAGTTTGATTTTGTGAAAGCGAAAGAATGAAAGTGTAAAGATTAAATAATTAAAAAAGAAAACATTTAAATAACAAAGACGTTTAATATACGTGTATAAAACATAAAGACAGTCAAACATTTGGCCATTTTACACAAAGGTAGTCTGTAATTAAAACAATATTTTAAATATTTGTAAGTATAAACTACAATTATATTAAAACAATTACTAAGCTTCTGAATTTTAGAGCTTGACAACTCTCGATTTAGGATAATTTAAGTAAAAATTATAAAATGTATATAAAAATATAAATACAATCATATATGATATACAATAAAATTAGTTTTACACACAATATATTCAGTGTAACATAATATGTATAAAAAGTCACAGCTAAAAGTGGATAGTCCCAATAATCCCAATTTTCTTAAATTAGTCATAAATTAGGTAACTGTTTTGGCTAGCTGATGTTTAACCTGTCAAGCGGTTGCATTGGGCTTTTATTTTGAAGTCTGCAACATCTTCGTCTCGCTCATCCGGAACTGAATGTTTGTTGTTGGAGTCGTTGATTTTGATGCTAAATGATTATAGTTTCTGTTGTATATTTTGCGCATTTTAATAAACGCACAATAATCTCCTCGTTATGGGTGGCTACGGGGTGATGGCAGATGAGGAGTCTCTAGATTATTCGGTACACGAAGCCTGGAACGAGGCCACTAATGTTTACTTGCTGGTTATTTTGGTCAGTTTTGCCCTGCTAATGTACGCCAGAAAGTAAGTGTCCATTTCATGTCATATTTAATAACTACGTGGCCATACATTTAAATTGAGCTGTAAATAAGACCATAATGACTGAAAAAGGCTGTCAAGTCTCGATGTCATAGTAGATTGTGATCTCTCTGATATACAAAACGTCCATTGAAAATGTCTAACACTAGCATATCTTTTATTTAGAAACAAGAGGAAGATTATGCGCATATTTACACTGCCACCGACAGTCGGCAGCTCATCGGAGCCAAACTTCTACGACAGTCTGCAGAAGGTCCGACTCAGACAACAACTGGAAATGTATTCACTGGGTAGGTTATTCTTATTTTATGTGGGAAAATTATCTTCTCGCATTTTCAAAACAGGTACCATAGCTTCTGCTCAAATTCCATGCAGTTGTTAAACATGTAAACATGCATTATTCACCAGTTAAGTGATGAAGAAAATTCTGATAAATTTCAGTCAGATGATTTATAAACTTCTGTGGTCCCATTCTGTGGACCCATTAGAAGTTTTTAAATCATCTGAAATTTGAATATTTTCCTGGGGTTTTGCTTATTTTAGAAACAAAAAACTACAACAACTTATTTTTTAATTCCACAATCAAAAAATGCATTGAAGTGTATTAAAATGGAGCAGAAAGTCTTAAATTATTAACTTGCTCATTCACTTACTTTCCATCAACTATGGCCAGTTTAGTTTATCCAAATTCTCCTCATTTATTTTCTTTTCAACTTAGTCCCTTATTAATCCGGAGTCGCCACTGCAGAATAAACCGCCAACTTATACAGCAGGTTTTACGCAGCAGATGCTCTTCCAGCTGCAACCCATCTCTGGGAAACATCCATACACACTTATTTACACAAGTACACTGGACAATTTTGCTTAGCCAATTTAAAATTAAGTCTTAAATTAAAGTCATGACGATAAATTTTGCAAACACTACAATTATTGTCTTGTTTTACAACACAAATATTAAAAAACCCTAAAATCAACTGTCAAATCAAAGATTTTAAAATATATTCGATCTGTTGTAAGCTGTATTTTTTAACTTTCTAATGAAACTCATTTTGTTCTCCCATATTCACAAAACAGTAATAAATAAACAAAACAATTTGAAATAACATAAGTGATAATACAGGAAATGTAAATAATATAATAGTAATAATGAAGCTGTTAGTAAAATAATAATATATGTGGCATGGATGAATATTAACAGAGTAATCCACTATTTTGTGGATGGGGTTACAAATGACATATTTCACCTGAAACTTAGAGCTAAATGACAGGATTAAAATCACTTTATTCCATTGTCTGTTAAAATTCTTGATTCTGATTGGCTGGAGGGTGTACATTATTTTCGTTGTAATGCACAGGTAGGTCCAATCAGTCTTGATCACAGTTCAAAATAAATGCGCCACTCCCAAACGTGTAAAGGTACCATAGCAATTTGCATGTGCTGCACAGGAAACCGACGAGGACTGTTGATGGTGGACGGGAATTACGCAAAATTAGACATAAAAAAACTGTTTGTAAAATCACACACACACACACACAGTTTTACTTTCTGTAAGTCATTCCGTGTGATTTTATAAGCTTTTTGAAAAATGTCCGCAATGTCCTCATATTTCTCCACCTGTTTGTAATACCTGTCATACCTATGTCAATACAGATTTGTGTTCTGATATGTCACAAACACACACACAAAACACATGAGTAATTCTTGCTGCATTGCAATAAACTTTGTTTGCCCTTTAATGTTTTTCTTTATATAGTATTGTGGTATTAAGCACATGTATAGTGAATAAAATATATAAAACATAATGTCCTTTTAAACACTGGTTCTTATTTTTTATTTGAATTTTAATTTCTATAGCTTATTTGTTTATGACAAAAATTATAAAACACTTTTGTTGTTTTAGATTGTTAATAACACTTTTTTAATAAAATCTTAATTTTCATTGGTATATTCAGTGGTTGCAAATCAATGAAAGCCCACTGTAAGTTGTCATTACAGTTTTCATTATACATGTATTTTATCTCTAAAGACCTGGCTTTACAGACAAAACTTATGTTAAGCCTGGATTCAATTCTGATATTTGAGTAATATATATCATTAAAAACATTATATGTTTCATCATGTGATAAAACAATGATGCAGCTTTATTTTAAGACATGTCGGTGCAAGATCATTTAAGTTGAAACATCTCAGATGCATTTAAGTCCATCTAATTAAAAAAGTATAAAAGCAGCTGTCCATTAAAACACATTATCCAGGCACATGGAATATAACTTTCGTCCTGAAAGCAAAAGTGATTTAAGTAACATGCTAAATCTGTTCATGAAAATATTCACCAGTAGAAGAACTTGTTTAATAAACAAACCTTTAGCATTGCTGTATGTATGACCCGGTTTTGATCGTGGCACCACTGATATTGTAGTAATTTTGTAAGATTGTAATTAGAGCGTTTGGTTTTGATGTCTGGTTTTTCAGCTCGTAAATATGACCAGCAGCAGTCGCAGTCTGAGAGTGTGCAGCTGTCAATGGAGTGATTTGACCAGAGGAGGCGCTCTTCACCCATCAATGTTGCTCATGTCAATAAAGCCGGTACGAACCAAATCTAAACAGACGTGAGTTATAGAGAGTCCAGAGATGCGGATTGCTGAGGAATGAACATGACTGGAAACTTTTTGAATGTGATTTATTTTATTTTATTGGAAGAGCCTTTTATTTTTCTCTGCATCCTTCATACCTTTTAAACATTTAGTAGGTGACAATTATTTTAAGAACTTGTAATATGATTTTGTTTTGAGGGCTTCGATGGACTATAATACAGACTGCCCTCTGGTGTTGGATTTAAAATGGTTTGGTGTCTCCTAAACTTGACAAACACTCTCTGTGTATATAAGGACATTAAGCCCAGCATTTGTACTCTCTTTTCAAAATACAAAATGTTGACAAAAGTTTAAAAAAGCTGAATATACCATACACAGAGTTTTGTTGTTGCGCATGCTAGTCATATATTGCCCTCTAGTGTTGCAAATACCTTTTGTTTTGGACTGACCTGCAGGCTGTTTAATGAATGTTTACTTAAAATAAAGATTTTAAACAACACAAATTCATATTTTTAAACATGACACAAAGCATCTTAATTACAAGTTCAACATCTCACAGTGTTTATTTATTTGATGAGGAGAGAAACAGAACCGTTATAAACCTAAGTATTTTAACCATATAAAGCCGCATGTATCATATTTGATGCACAAGACCTATAAAATATCAACCTGATCAATACTTTGTTTAAAAACCTGTTGTACATGATGTGATATACAACAGGTATATCAGGTAACGGCAAAAACAAAATAAAAGCTGCCTGAAATGTTCTCTGTTGTAAAAATGTTAAGGAAAAAACTAATTAACTGATTAAAATTACATTGTTGTGAGCAAAAAGATGCACAAACAACTGATGTATCAAATGTGATACAAAAAAAAAAAAAAACATCATGATACATGGCAATTTTTTTTTGATTTCGCTTGATGGTTTAATAAATATCTCAGTTCCAGAAAATTATAATTTTCTGACTATTTTTTGATATCTTGGGTCTTACAGGGTTAATAAAAATGCTCTGAGTAGAAATAGAATACATTTGTTGTCATAATGAAGAAAGTAATGGACAAAAAAGTATGAAATAATATTTATAAGGGCTGTCTGTCAATCTTTTTTAAATCTAATTAATCACATAATGTAGTAATTAATTATTTCAAATCAAGCTAATCACATATTTATTTGATTTGAGAAATCATACCCATAAAGAAAATGTACGGTTATTCTGTTAAATGCAAAATATGGAAATGTTACAAAAATTATCAGAATTTTTATAAACCAAAATATATTGCCTATATTCACAGAGAAATGGATCAAAATTTAATTTTCAAAATGGGGTGCACTTAAATATGCTGAGCTGTGTGTGTACATTTGAAGTCAGAATTATTAGCCCCCCTGAATTTTCAGAGCGCTTGTTTATTTTCCCCCCAATTTCTGTTTATTGGAGAGATTTTTTTCAACACATTTCTAAACATAATAGTTTTAATAACTCATTTCTAATAACTGATTTATTTCATCTTTTGCCATGATGACAGTAAATAATATTTGACTAGATATTTTTCAGGACACTTCTAGACAGCTTAAAGTGACATTTAAAGGCTTAACTAGGTTAATTAGGTTAAGTAGGCAGGTTAGGGTAATTAGGCAAGTTATTGTGTAACAGTGATTTGTTCTGACAATCGAGAAAAAATATAGCTCAAAAGGGTTAATAATTTTGTCCCTAAAATGTAAAAAAAAAATTAAAACTGCTTTTATTCTTGCCGAAATAAAACAAATAAGACTTTCTTCAGAAAGAAAAAAACAAACAAAACAGAAATACTATGAAAATGTCTTTGCATTGTTAAACATCATTTGGAAGTATTTAAAAAAGAAATTTTTTAAAGCCATTTTAAGGTCAAAATTATTAGCCCCCTTAAGCTATATATTTTTCCATAGTCTACACAGCAAACCATTGTTATACAATAACTTGACTAATTACTCTAACCTGCCTAGTTAACCTAATTAACCCAGTTAAACCTTTAAATGTCACTTTAAGCTGTATAGAAGTGTCTAAAAGTATCTTTTAACCTTAATTTTTGAATCAATTATTACTATTATTATGTTTTGGTAATGTGAGTTTGTTTTGCCTTGCATAAAACACATCAAACACCTTTTTTATATATCTTTTGTGTGCAGGCAGATGCAATGTAAAAAGTAAAATGAGTATGTAGTGGTGCACCACATGGACCAAAAATAGTACCAAGTTTTCAAACCACGCAATGTTCTCACCTCTTTTTTTTTTTTTTTACCCCATTTCCTCTTTGCATCCATGAAATATTTATCCAAGTCTTAAGGAACTGCTTAGCAACCTCCCAGAATACCATAGCAACCACATAAATGCCATGGCAGACATCCTATACCATCATGTTGGCAGGTCTTGTATGGGCAATCACCACTCGCATTTTCTTTCCAAAGTGTTAAAATACTTTTTTTTTCTCGTTTCAAAAAAACTTTGATTGAACCAAGTGCAATAAATGAGTCCAAGTGCTACAGAAGTGAGAAACGAAAAACATGGAGTGAGAAATAAAAGTTAAAAGGTGTGAGAAAGAATCACAATCTTGGACACTGTCTCTTTTGTTTTTCGCTGCTTTGTTCTAATCGTTTCTTTTTTTTTTTCTTTAATGCCACTTTTCCATCATTCTCCATAGCTTCTGATCCGCGGTGGAATCTTTTCCCTAGATGAATCACAGAAAAGCTAAAGAAATGATGCCTTTCCTCGCCTTAGTCATCAGCCTCCCCCTCCTTCTGTGCTTTCCCTCAGGTCTCTGTGGAAATAAGATGAACAAACTCTTTTCTTTATCATTTTTCAACCTCTAATAATTTTATTCTATATCTGCCTTTGCCTTTATACAAAATGCCAAGAGTCTCATCTCAAAACATAAGCTGCTGCAGAACAAAAAGAGAATTCTTGAAGAATGTTCCTGCAGCCTTTTCCATCTGTCAGAAAGCTTTAAAAAGCATCACATCAGCATTCCATGAGACTTTATATACGTGCTATATTTAAAGTCTTCTCAAGTCATGTGATGGCTTTGTGGGACAAACATAGGGACAATATGAAATCTTTTATGACAGGTTTGATGCCACGACTTTTTTTTTGTTAAAAATCATGCAGGGATCAGTGGTGTTTATTGTAATAATCGAAGTCAAAAAGCATTTAAATAATAGAGAATGAGTCATATGAACTGTTTTATGGGGATTATTATTTTTACTTTTGTTCTTTCTGAATATTGGTAGAAAAAAAATTATTTAAGTTTTTTTATTTAATTTAAGCCCCGAAGAATTTGTTATTACATGTTGTGATTAATGAGAAAATTAGCAATATGAAGATAATTAAAAGTAAGACCGAAATCTTCAACTGGGTCAGACAATATATACTTTGTTCAAACCTGTACTGGCTGATATACTTTTTAAACATGAGCTTGAAATGAAAACATGAGATGATATCTCTCAATTCTCTCTTGGTGGTGAAAAATATTAAAATAAAACGAACTGAAAGATGCAAATGACTGTTTTGTTTGTTTCTTTATATTAAGGCGTTCTGACATCATGCCCTTTAGTTTTAGGAAAAAAAGTTAGAATTATGAAATATGAACTCTGAATTGTAAAACAGAAAGTCTGAGTTTATATTTCCCAATTATGGGAAAATGTTAACACTAAAACTACATTTTTTTTGTTTGATCTCAATTTTGTCATTAAATTTTGGATTTCTGATATGTTCTCCTCATAATTCATATTCATGTCTTGCATTTCTGACTTTACATCTAGCAATTTTAAGTATATATTATGTAGGTTATTTTGGTTGAGGTCTAATGACTGTGGAGGCCATTTGAGCAAAGTGAACTAATTGTCATGTTCAAGAAACCAGTCTGAGATGATTTGTGCTTTATGAAATAATGTGTTATCTTGCTGGAAGTAGCTATCAGAAGATGGGTGCACTGTGGACATCAAGGGATGGACATGGTCGGCAACAATACTAGGTAGGCTGTGGTGTTGACACAATGGCCAAATGATACTAATGGGCCCAAAGAGTGGCAAGAAAACATCCCCCACACCATTACACTACCACCAGCTTGAACCATTGATACAAGGCAAGATGAATCCATGCTTTCATGATGTTGACGCCAGATTCTGACCCTACCATCCGAATGTCGCAGCGGAAATCGAGGCTCATCAGACCAGGCAATGTTTTTCCAATCTTCTATTGTCCAATTTGGTCAAATTTTTGGTGAGCCTATGCAAATTGAAGCCTCAGTTTGCTGTTCTTAGCTGACAGGCTAAAGTAGGTCGCACACCAGAAGCGGCGCTTGGCGCCGCGACACGGCGCGCACATGACAGTTTAAAGTATCGCACACCAGACGCGCACATTCGAATGATATTTAACATGAAACTAATCAGATGGCGCTCTGTGGCGCGGCTGAAAAATGAACTGCGTCCTGAGCCGTGGCCGGGCGCCGCCGACAGCCGCCGACTTGCGGCGCCGGTGTGTGTATCCTGATAGAAACCTATGTTTAGAATTCTAAAATGCATGGCGGCGCTTCTGGTGTGTGACCTGCTTAAGGCACCTGATGTGGTCCTCTTATGCTGTAGCCCATCCGCCTTAAGGTTCGACATGTTGTTTGTTCTGAGATGCTCTTCTGCATATCTCTGTTGTTACGAGTGGTTATTTGAGTCACAGTTGCCTTTCCATCAGCTGGAACCAGTCCGGCCATTCTCCTTTGACTTCTGGCATGAACAAGGCATTTGCACCCACAGAACTGCTGCTTACTGGATATTTTCTCTTTTTTAGACCATTCTCTGTAAACTCATGAGATTGTGCGTGAAAATCCCTGTAGATCAGCAATTTCTGAAATACTCAGACCAGTCCATCTGGCACCAACAACCATGCCATGTTCATAGTCATTAAAATCACCATGCTTCCCAATTCTGATACTCGGTTTGAACTGCAGCAGATCGTCTTGACCATGTCTACATGCCTAATGCATAGAGTTCCTGCCATGTGATTGGCTGATTAGAAATTTGTGTTAACGAGCAGTTGGACAGGTGTACCTTAAAAAAAACTCTTTAAAAAAACATTTAAATAGGCTGTAAGAAGATTCTTCAAATTCCTCTTTTTGTGTTTCATATGGGTTTGGAAGGACATGAGAGCGAGTAAATGATGCCAGAAATTGTATTTTAGACTCCTTTTTGAATGCCCCGTTGCTTTAACCCTCAAATAACACATTACCCCTCCTTCTGTCTCTTACTGTCTCACCCATTCATTGTTTAACAAACACACAGAACTCAGAGAATTCCAGGTATTAACGCATGACATGCATCAACACAAATCACACACGTTTGTTCTGCAACCATTTGCAAGCTCAAACCAGAAAAAAATAATCAATAAACCAGAGTGAAAATAAACCGTAGGGGCTGAGGAGCAACGTTCACGGCCGCCGGATTTCAACACGTTCATCAGTGTATGGTTGATGTTTACAGTCTGGGTGT